GGCTCGGAGAGGAGCCTGTGTCTCATTTACATGGACGGGGAACTGTGACTCTTTGTAATTCAAATTGTACAAGCTGCACTTCGACTCGCAGTGCTGGCTGAATGCAGAAGGTCTGGGGATGTCAATTTGAAACTGGACAGTCTTGATGCAGATGAAGGGGCCTGGGAGTGGGTGGAGGGTGCACCATTCTACAAAGGAGGGTTTGATTTGTGACTTTTGCACTTTAGACCAGTAATGGGACTCAAAACACTGGAAGGCTTTCTAATTTGTATAAAGCCAGCAGGATGCATCAGGAGAAAGAAACTTATCAGACGTCATTGAGATACCGCGCGTCATCAAACGTCACCCACATTTCAGGCATAAGGCTTGCAGCTTGCCGGAAAGACAGCGCTCCTCACGCAATGTCCACAACCACAGACGAGCCAGTTCTTTTAGAGTGTTAAAAAACATCACATTTCCTTGTTCCAAGACATTTCTAACTAATAGTAATGCCACAATTCTCTGGTAAGCAAGCCAAGAAAGAGAGTGAGAGACGCAGATGCAGGACATGGGGAGGACAAAGAAATGATGCACACAACCATATACACATGCAAAGTATTATACTTTTCCTGGTTCATTAATGGATGTGTGCCAGACTATGACCTCAGATGCAGTCTATATGGAGCACACCACCTAAACCTATTTTGAATCTCTTTTACTTCCATTATTTCTGTTATAGTTATAAATTAAATTAATAACAAATGATTGCATATTATATATTTTAAGCCCCTCCCCCCAAAAAATGTAGGCCCATACAATGACATTACAATAAAGTTTGTTAACAAACATACAGCCCGCTTTTACCGAGGCTACCCATAGATATTTCAGCATTAGTGGGTTCAGATACCTCATATGGTTCAATCAGTAGTTAAACCAAAACTGACACTAGACATAGCTACGGTGGACATATTAAGTTCCACTAATGGAAAATATCTGTATGCAAAAAAAGTTACAGGGAAGCACAATATTTCCCCTTTTCTACTTTGCCTTTCCATTCTCTCTTTAGAGGGATTATGTGTCTGAATTTACATTTTTTTACTGTGACTTTTTAAAATAAATTTTTTTAAACTTTTTAAATTAATGTTTGTGTAATCTAAGTAACTAATATTAACTTTTGCCCAGCGCTGCCAGACATGATCATCATTACCACACATTTAATGGAAATGTCATGTAGTTCATGTAACTGCTGATGGAGACGAGGATGGAGAGAGATGGAGTCTAGTATTTGATTGTGTGGTTATAGTTGTCTAATGTATGTAAACATACTAGCCTCAGTTACATAATCTTAAGAGCCACTACTCAAGTATGTGCATACATACTTTACATTCCCGATATGTAAACATAAACACAGAGACACAGTACAAATGTAAGTGATGAAAGCTTGTTTTCCCTTTTAACAATAAATAGATAATAAATAAGGTTAGCAAATAATTAAAGTAACTGTCAGCATGTGAGTGGGTGTTGCAATTGTGCAAACAGGTATGTCTGTAGGCTGTAAGCTTTTTGTATGTTTGTTTCTTTTATTGTTCATGTAATCACACCTTTTTAAAGGTGTCATACGCAGCATAGGGTTTGACCACACCTTGTGACTTTCAGACCTTTCTTTGCCCATAAACAAGGCCCAACAGTCATAGCTTAGAAAAGTCACATCCCCCGAGGCCTCTGACAGATGAAGGCCCACTTCATCTGTCAGAGGATTCTTAAAATGTTTGTGAACACGGCCCCAAGTTTATACCGCTGTTTCATCAAAAGACCAGGGGCTATATTTGCAATCCTCCAAGCAAAAAAGTTTCTATGAAAGTTAAAGTTAGGACTAAATGTTGGTACAGATAAAAGATATTATAAAAGCATTTATAAGAGTAGATACTTAAATAGTAGATACTGTCAAAGTCCTTTTATATCGAGGGCCTCATGCAGCTTACTTTGATGTCTAGCGCGCCGGACACGTGAAACTCCCCTTTCTATCTGATGGTTAATTACACATTAAATCCTTGAGATATCTTAGGATATTAAATACCTACAATTTCAAAATTTCATCTCATGTGTTATATTGCTGGGGTGAATGAAAGACATCTGTGTTTGGGTTTAAAATGTAAGAAATTAAAGAAATTTTTTTGTTGTTAAAATACAGCTAAAAATCCACATTTTTAACCCTCCTTCACATTTTTCAAAGTCATCCACTGGGCCTGATTGGAGTCCTTGCTAGGCCGATTTTGTCCTCTGACCCTTATGCTTCATATGTTCCAGTCAAGTTTTAAAAAAAAAAATACACAGAATGGTTAAAATTGTAATATCTATATTTGGATGTTGTAGTAAAATGTAAGAAAACTGTTCTAATGGAAGTTGCCAGCAGATGAAGAGAGTCAGACAGAGATTTCGATAAGAAGCTTTTATGTCTTTTTTACATATCTGTGTTGTGGTCATGTATACTGTATAGACTTGCCATAAGAACCACAAGTATATCTCATTAAAATGAAAAAACGAGGGTTGATATTTTAAGTCATGCAAGGATTTTTTTAAAAGACTAACTCTTGTGAATTTTTCAATTAATAATAAAAAATATATAATTATTAATTTTTTTATTAAACCAACTGGGGAATTTTCCAGCATCACACCTAAGCTAGAAATTACTTTCTCTTAGATTTCTTTGTTCTGTGGAGTGAGGAGCACTCTTAGTTTAGCCCCGGAGGAATCAAACGAAACATGTTTTGAGCGAAATGAGAAGATTTTCGTGTCTCTTATCTTTGGAAAGAATTCCAAATTGAGGCGTAGTATTCACAAATATTAAGTTAAACAAGTTTCTGGCCTCAAGAAACTGACAACAAATTTCTAAACTGATGCCCATAGTTAAAGCCTTATGTAAAGTCTGCCGTTCTCTTTAGTCTACAGAAAACAACTGTACTCGTGTCAGGGTTTTATTTGCATGTGTAGCGTGCAGCCAGTGTTCATCGCTGCTCAACCTGTGTACTCAGCAGCACAGAAGCTGACTTAGTTAACAGGTCTCTGAACCTTTACTTCCCCAATGGAAATAAGAGATATCATGTGATGTGCTAACAGAACATTTGTGTATTTCAACAGGACACTTCAACAAGCTGCATTTAATTATTAACAGGGGGAAATATTAAGCAGTGGTCATTTCTCATAACTGAATACAAAAACAGGATGATGATGAGGTTTTAATCAGAACATCTATGTTAAAGTTAAGCCATCGTGGCTCAAGAGTTGGCCGTTCGCCTTGTAATCGGAAGGTTGCCGGTTCGAGCTCCGGCTCGGACAGTCTCGGTCGTGGTGTCCTTGGGCAAGACACTTCACCTACCGCCTACTGGTGATGGCCAGTGGGGCCGATGCCACAATATGGCAGCCTCGCTTCGTTCAGTCTGCTTGCAGTGTGCAGGGCAGCTGTGGCTACAACTGTAGCTTGCCTCCACCAGTGTGTGAATGTGAGAGTGAATGAATAGTGGCATTGTAAAGCGCTTTGAGGGCTTCGAAAAGCGCTATATAAATGCAATCCATTATTATTATTAAGGTGTTGCCAATATATTGAGTATCTAAAAAATAAGTAAATAAAAGATACTGTTGACTGCTGATGGGAAAAGTGAAAACAGTTGCTATCTCTGGTGTGAAACTCATAATCTATCCACCCATGCTTTTCTATCCACCTCCTCTTTCAGAAGCACAAAACCATCATGTCACTTCTGCTGATCTGTCCAGTAAATGAAAGGGTGTGTGTGTGTGTGTGTGTGTGTGTGTGTGTGTGTGTGTGTGTGTTATTTTATTTTCTATTACTTGCTTAGTTACTTACAGAATGGGCTTACAGCTCCACCCTTCAAAAAAAAAAAAACAATGTGCAAAGGAACAATTTCCGCAGTTTATCAATCTAAATGTGCATCGGCAACAATGTCACAGATAAGCATTTAAAATCATCCTCCTTCTCAGTATAAAACTTTGCTCTGTTGTCGTTTGATCGGTGCTGACACAGCTCCACATTAATAATTGGTTCCATGTTACTTTACACTGAAGAACGGTGAGGATCACATACGGAAAGAAGCGAGCCGGGGTGGCAGAGGTATCAGATCAGGTCCTTTGAAGTGTATTAATAGAGTCAGCATCACGGCACCATGGAATAAATATTTGCATAAAGAACGTGCCTTTTCATCAAGCACTGATATTAAACTTGGAATATGCAGCACAGCTGTTCAATTGTCTTCTGATTCTAAACAAAAAAGTAGTTAAGCCACTTATCACTTATTAGAGATGAACAAGTAACTGGGCAAGTCCCTGGGTCTGTGAAGTGAAGGGGACACTGAGCTGCACCACATTCCTTTCCTGACCCCTTTGTGTTGGCCACACACATCCTCGCATGCCATTCTCAAACTCTCTCATCTTTTCTCCCCCTCTCTCTGGGCAGACTGATCAGTGGGACACGGGACAGGTGGATCTGTGGTAGCTGGATGCCACAGTCTATCCGTTAGTTCAGCCTCTTTTCAGAGGAATGTATTTCAGGGGATTTCAGACTACAGGTCAGGTCACTTGAACAAACAGTTTACCAACAAAGAGAGTGAGTCATTTAGTCTACTTTGGCAATGCATTTTAATATTGCGTCACTGTTAAAACTCTCTAGCTCAAGTCCGACATATTAATTACCCATCGTTATAATTTTTTATGCAGTTGAAACTTTCAAAGGACCAAGTTTTATTGTACTATTACATCTTTGTTGGTATCAGCACAAAATTAATGTGTTATAACAGCAGAAATGTTTTCCATAAACTTTCCCTTTAAGCGTGAGGTACACTCCACCGATTGCTGACTTAGGGGACGTACCTGCGCAACAGGTGCAGGAACCACGAACTCATGAAAACCGTGCGCATCACCGAAACAGAGCGCAGTGCAATAGTTGGAAAAGTGCAGTAGTGTCGTGTTTAATTTCGCTCATATTGTAAAAAGGATTAAGTTTTTCTTACCTTGAGGAAGGCGCTGAAGACCAGAAGAGTCCACAGAGGGACGCTGAAGCGCATTGAGAGCTTCATGATGCCGCACACTGGGAGAACGGATTCTAGTGCTTTTTCTGCCCGCTGCACACTTTCATGTCCAAACTTCCCTTTCGCTTGCAAAAAAAACAACAGAAAACAAACAACGACTGGACTTTCTTCTAACACCTGAGTCAAACCGTTGCTACATCAGGAGAGTTTAAAGTGAGAGAATGAAACTTTTTCCTCTGAATTCACGGGGAGGAGCAGCGGCGAGAGGCGCGTCATTCAGAGTAGTCCGCCTCTCTTCAGTTTTTCCTCACTTCAGCTCGAACTACTTCCTCATCAACTAAAAGTCTGCCTTCCCTCTTTCCTCGAAGAAATCCAACATTCTTCCCATAACTTTGCCAAGCAGGTCGAAGGAATGCAGTGTCCCGTTTCTAACACGACGGAAATCCCATTTTCCAAAGCCAATGTTACTGGGAAACATCCCTAATATCACTGGCCTGGTTTCTCCTCTCTAAAGCAGTTCAGTCATTTCACAACAAAACAGAGTATTAGGCCAAAGATAAGGGGGACTACAGTGAGAGGGATATTTCATGCCTGAAGACTCGAGACAAAAGAACAGCTTAGTTTAAAGAACTAAAAAAACAAATAAACCTGCAATTTCAAAACCCGTTTATAATTTAATATATTCACTCATGGCTTGACCTTGTCTTGTTGTTTTAGTCATCTTTGGCCACAAAAGTGACTTTATTTGAATGAGCGTTGAGTCCTAACTCATTAGCTAACACCACTAATGCAGTCTAAGGATGTGCATTTAGCCTGCGGATAGCTGTTAAGGAACATAGAGATGTGAGAAATTTCCATTACTAATACTGAAAAAGACATGGTCAACAGTTCAGTTATTTATAGTCTATACAGATAAAGTCTAAAGTATCTAACTAGTGGGTCCCACCCACATACTGAGACACACAGTTGTAATGACACAAAATTGAAGAGCTCCGGAAGAAAGCTGGAAAATGTCAATTGGTTGGCAATTCCAACTTACAGTATTCCCACATGTGCAGTAAGTATGTTGCCACTAACACTATTATTACTCACAGTAAAGTAGACATAGGGTGCTTAAATAATCTTTGACTTAGTGACTTTTGTTGGTGTTTCAGTCAGGGATGGTTTTCAGACTAGGAAAGCAATGAAGATAATTGTTGTGACATGCCATAAACATCTTTATTTCAGCTGTGAAACTGTGAGCATCAAGATCAACTTTGTCTCCAAATCATTCAGCCTGAGCTGACCCTCTGATAATTTGTTCACTCCCGATGAAAACCTGAGTATCTTCAACACTTTCACTTCCAGCTCGGCCTCATGTCTTTTTGTCAGCACCATCTCCAAACCATAAACCACATCAGGTCTCATTACCATCTTGTAAATCTCCCCTTTCACTCTTGCTGCTATCTTGCTGTCACAAAACACCCTTGACACTCATCCCCACCCGCTGCACCCTCCCTGCACTGCGGTCTTCATCTCTCTTCTGCCCTGTTCACTGTTTTGGATGGTTCACCCTATCTCATTAGCCTTCACTACCACCACTACTCTGCTCAATGTAGAGTCACTGCTACAAACACTGGAACCAGAGCAAAGGTAATATTCAAAATGAAAACTAAAACAAAGTCAAACAGAAACAGAGAGTCTGAAAATAAAACACTGCAGACAAAATGCAGGATCACGACAAAAACTTTTTTATCGTCTGCTGAAGGACTAAATGGAAGCTCTGGCTGCTGTTATATTTCTCCATGTAAACTCAATTCAAATGAATGATAAAAGAAATAAACTACATGGTATGAATGATAAGGGCCAGTCTTCATGTAAAGCTTATTTATAGCCTATTTTATCAGCTTTGTTTTTCTTGTTAGTGCTGGATGGACAGGAAACAGTTTATAACAGAGTGTGTGTGTGTGTGTGTGTGTGTGTGTGTGTGTGTGTGTGTGTGTGTGTGTGTGTGTGTGTGTGTGTGTGGCTGTAAAACAAAAGCAAAAAAACAAGCCTCCTTGTCACACTACTTAGGATGAATAATTCCAAAATAAATAAACATTTAATACTTAATTCTTGAAAATGAAACCCTTTTCTAGTGTAAGTATTGTGTGTAAGTTATGAATATGCACAGAAACCCATATTAAAAAATAGAATAGAAAAGCTACTTTATTGTAATTCAGAACATACACCAGTTACTGCACACCAAAATAAAATTTCAGGCATGTAACTTCACTGCCCTAAATATACTTTCTTAATGTACCTTGTGCATATATGAATATACATCCTTTATGTTGAGTGCAGACATGTTTACACATCCTGCGTGTTCATCCCGTGTTGAATTTTATGCTGCTGTCTTGTGCTTGTTCTGCTCATCTTTTGAGACATTCTCACAAGTGCGTTTTGAACTTTTTGGAATGTGTTGTTTATCACCTTCACACTTTTACATGTTAAAAAAAAAATTCTGTTACTTGTCAGCACTTACTGTGTAACGTTGTAGGATGTTCTCATGTTCTATAGAAATACTGCTAAGTTGCACTTCCTAGAAACAAACTTGGAACACAGAAGAAGACAGAAGTTTAGTTTTGTGAACACCAGAGGCTGGTCGGGTTTTACTGGTTGAAAATAATAATGGTAGATTTTTGCTACAACTTAACAACATAATTTAAAATAAATGAATACTGATGGGCGACAGAAATGTTGCAGCAACTTCCTGTTTGTTTTCCCATCTCTAAAAAGCTCTTCTGAGTGACACAGACTGGCCTGATGTATGACAATGTTGTACAGTGTGTCATAGTTTTATTTGGCACTGAGAGGACATGCAAGGAAAGGTTCCAGCCAACGAGGAGGTTTAAACTAGGAACCCTCTGCATGTTGCGTGTTTAGGTTGTTTAAATGCATCATTATGCCAGGAAATGTTGGGTCCTGACATAACAATTCATGTAAATCACGTGGTCTCTATATCCCCACCTGGCTATTGACCAAGCATGATAATTTAGAGACCTTAAGCAAAGACCTGCATGAAGTCCTTGTTCACTTAAACAAATGCGTTCATAGCTAAGTGAGTAAAACAAAAATATTTTACATGTTAATAGATTTATTTTTAACTAGTACAGATTAACACTCGTTTGTGGATATAAGATAAGAAGCCTGCTCTATAAACACACAAAAAAGGAAAAAGCTTTCTAAAGTGGCACTTTGCCGATGAGGCTTCATGTAAATTGTCTGCTCAAAGTTGACTGACTACTTTATTTTGTGCACCTTGTTAGTGCTGGGTTAGCTGCTTTAATTCTTCATGCCATAGCTATATCAAAGTGTTTGAAATATACTAACATGCTGCTGCATCTCTAAGGTGCTGTGTTAAATTGAGATCTAGCGACACTAGAAGTTAGTTGAGTAAAGTGATCTCACTGTCAAAAAAAATAAAAACAGTTTGAGACCAAGTCTCAGCTGTGTCGTTGAAAGGTGGCTTTCATAACACCCCTGTTTCACCATTTTCCTCGGGCCAGCTTTATAATACCTTTTAGGCCTTCACGGCGCATGTGAAGTGAACATTCTGAGTTAAAGTGGCATAGCTGGGAGGTCACTTCACAGTTGAAATGTGAATTATGCGTTGTTCAGCGCAAACCTTATTGCATCCTGATGATTAGAACACAGAAGAAGACACAAGCAGGAAATTTGTCTTTTTCAGTTAACCGTGGTCATAGACTGAAGCTTATGTCATATGTGAGCAACACGTAAATCTCCTTTCTACTACAGCGTTAGAACTCATTACTCAAAAAACACATTCTCAGTTTTATGTTATTTTAAAGTTGCCAAAATTAGGAAATCCTCATTTTCATTACTCCAGAATAGCTGGCTAGCCATGAATCGCTCTCATGTGTACGTGTATAATTAACGCCTCTTTAATACTGGTGCTTTTAAAGACGTGCTCTGTTAAGTGGGTGATTTTTTTGACCTCTTAGTACACTGGATGCCAAAGCCGCTTTTTGACAGACAGTTTTATACTGGCTGTTAAAAGAGCCCAACTAATGATGTCTAATGGAGATAGAGAAGATGTGAACTGGTCACTGTGACGTATTATTCTCAGTGTTACATAATGCTCTCGGATTGTTGCAATTTGTATTTTTTTAAAGCCGCACCTTCCATATGTTCTTCCTGTAGCCATTATAAATTTAACTAATATGTTGTTTTTCTTTCTAGCCTGCTGCTCTTTTCCTTTTTTGTGCTCTGTCAGGAGATCAAGACTCAGATGTTTTCTTTTGAGAGATGTTGGTGATAACATTTGACCACAGGGACAGAAGGAATCTTATCTGCATGCATTCATAAAAAAGAAACATGCATTAGACTTAAATATCTCAGTCTGAGTGACCTGAAGTCAAAGTGCAGTCGTCAAACATGCAGCGTAACTCTGGTGTAGACTATACTACCGTTAGTAGTGCCTTAACTCTGCCGATCATTGCATAACCAGCATGCGCCCATTCAACATAAAGTGATCTCTATTTTCCACACAGAGAGTTGCAGAACATTTGCAAATCATCCTGTAGTTTTTTAATGAAGCACCTTTGTAAGAACACGCAACTCTTAGCGATGGCATTCTATTATCCCTAAAAGGCCTCTCGACTCTTCATCTTTCTGGTCATCATCATCGATTCATGCAACACAGATTATTCAGGCATCTGATTTTTACTAAATACTAACAGAAATTAACTGTTCATTAAAACACTGACATTTTTTATACAAAAAGATTAGTGTATTATCCCATAAAGACAAGATTTCTTTAAGCAAGTAACAGTTTAAAACAATTAAATTATAGTATTGTAAAAAATTATTTAAAAGATATTGACTGACAGAAATTTGACACCCTTTTAGCTCATTGATAGATTTAGACACCAAAAATTGTGCAACGTACCAACACCATGTGCAGCAAAACAGTCACAGAGAATATGCATTTAAGCTCGTATGTACACTTTTGACCCTGTGTAGATTAGAGAAAATCCACCATGAATTCAAACACATGCACATTCATGCCCATGATCAGTGCATGCAAATGTCATATATACAGTTGTCACAAACCTGTCTTATTATAACTTAAGCGCATCAGGCTCAGATGGTAAAAAACACCTTCTGTGTTATTTGGAGAGGGCAGCAGCTTCTTAAAATATGGCAGAATTTGATGCTCTGAAAATGAGAAGTGGGTAGAATTACTCAAAGAAGTGTTTCCACTTTGAAAACAAGCAACAAAATCTGCACAAGAATGCTGGAAGAGTGGTGTTGCACGAGGCTTATAACTCTCAGCCAGGAGAGTCTCATGTGAGACAATTACTATTTAGAAAGCTTCATGTTCCAAGTTGCCAGGGTGATAGGATAGGTCCAAAGTAGATTTTACATGCACTTACCACCTACTCAATGTTGCATTCTCAATCTGTAAAAACAACTTTGACCTAAAGATAGACACAGGACCTCTGAAACTGCGCTATGGTGTCTGATATGAACATGAACATGACAATGAGTTCACTGTACTCAAATGGCCTCCACAGTCACCAGATCTTTATCTCCAAGAGCACCTTTGGGTTGTGGTGGAACAGGATATTTGCATCACGGGTATGTAGCCAACAAATCTGCTGCAAATGTGTGATACTATCATGTCATAATGGACCAAAATCTCTCAGGGATATATCCAGGACTTCGCTGAATCTATGGCATGATGAATTAAAGCAGCCGAAGAACTAGCAAGCCGAGCCTAATTAAGGCAGCCGGTCCCATCTTTTATGTGAGGCCTCCTTTGGCAAAGTTCCACTTGAGACAACTTTTTTTCTTTTTCTTTTTTTGGTCTTCTTATCTTGTTTCTGCAAACAAGTGTTAACATGTACTTGGTAAAAAATAAAGCTGTCAACATGTAAAAAAAAAAAATTGTTAATTTTACTTGAAAAATTACAAATGCATTGGGTAAAATGGAGAAGAGCATCACACTCGTCTTTGCTTGAGGTTTTTCAATTGCTGTGCTTCGTCAGTAGCAAGTAAAGCCAGCCGCGTGAATGCCAGGATGCAAAGTTTCTTAGCACAACAATGCCTTTTAACAACTGCACCTAACTTCTGTGAAGGTTCTCAGTCATCCAGGTCACCGTAGTCTAAGGAGTTTAGAAAGAAAAGTCTCTGGACTTCGAGAAGTTTCTCGGATGAGAGGTGAAACATCTTCAAGCAACTTAAAGAAGTCCAGATGCTTTTCTTTCTAAGCTCCACTTAGACAACTGCACCTAACCTAAACATATAATCCTCTCTTTAGAGTTCAGTATGGTGCAATCCACACATGGTAAGCTCCACACCTCTCCACTAGTTGCTTCACTCTCGTTTACTTTGCAGTCACTACTTTAAATATATTCTACTTATTGTCCAATGTATTGTTTCTTTATTAAATTTATTTTTTTTCTATCACACCTTCCAGTGTTTATATGGAGTGCACACACATTAACACTACAAGGTCAAAGTTCTGTTTTATGTTATATTAATACATCTTTCTTTGTTTGAGTTACCTGGGGTTTGGCTTCTCCTTGCTGGCTGGCAAAAGGTGTGGCAAAGGGATGGGAGAGCTGAAGTACTGCTGACAGCCTAATTGGATCAAATCACATGATTCATTGCCTGGGGGGTGTTTCAAGATTGTTTAATTATTTTGTGTTTTCACAGGCCGGCCTTTAAGGTGTCACAGATAAAAACCCTGAAAACCATAAATTTCACACCTGAGCCTCAACTCTCAACTTGGGTGTTCTTTTGGACAGCTCCTTTAAACTTGTTAAGCAAGTGTCCTCTGTGGTACGGTCTAGCTTTTACCAGCTATGACAAATCTCTGAAGGCTAAGCATTACATACCGCGAATGGATCTGGAAAAACTTATACATGCATTTGTTACCTCAAGATTAGATTACTGGAACTCCCTTTACCTGGGCCTCCAATCTGCCCTTCTCCATGAACTACAACTTGTTCAAAATGCAGCGGCACGCCTTTTAACTGGTACTAGAAGGTTTGATTTTATTACCCTGATCCTTGCTGACCTGCACTGGCTGCCCATCAAATATCGGATTGATTTTAAGATTTTACTGCTTACATTCAAAATAGTAAATAATATTGCACCGTGCTATTTAACTGAACTTGTCAGCTGGTATACTCCTAGGAGAGCACTTCGATCATTGAGTCAAATGGTCCTGGTGCAACCTAGGTCCCGGCTGAAAACCAGAGGTGATCGTGCCTTTGCCATTGCTGCACCGAACCTCTGGAACAGTCTTCCTTTTAAAACACGATTGAAAACTTATTTATTTGATCTTGCATTTCAGATTAGTTAGGATTTATCAGATGTGCACTTTGTACTTTAATTGCATTTGTGTGTAATTTTAAATTATTGTGTTACTGGGTTCTTCCAGTTGATATTTCTGTGCTGATTTTATCTAACTTTTACACTAGGTGTGAAATATTTCTTTTAGCATAGTACTCACGGGTTAATTAGTGCTTTGTTTTAACTGGGAATGCATGTATCTGTATCCATGTCTAATTAATTTTATTTCATATTTTATTATTGAGAAGCACTTTGGAGTACCTCTGGTCTTTTAAATGTGCTATATAAATAAAGTATTGATTGATTAAATTATACATCATTACAAGGAAAGTCACCTGCTGTTTTTTCAGATAACTTACTGAAACTTCATTGCTACTGTGATGGTGCAGAGTACGTAAATGCATTTAGAATTTATCTGAGCAGATTCATTAGCTGTTGGCTTTTTGTAATGTTTGCTTCTTTACTGTAATAATGGTCCACTGACAGTCTGTCATGGTTCTGGGTCGGTTCGACCCAGCATTTTAAGTTTATTATGTTTTGGGTTTATTTTTGCATTATGGAGTGTTTTGGGGTTCTCTGGTGTTTTGATTATTTACAAAAGATTATATTACTGTGGTTCTGGTTTAGGGTTTTGTTCACAGGGTTTGTGTTCTCATGTTTTGTGTGGGTTTAGTTCTGTGTCTGGTCTGCGTCTTTGTGTAGTGATGTCTTGTTCCTGTTTTATTGTGAAGGTCTGCGTCTCATGTGGGTGTGTTCAGTTTACCTCCCTTGTCTCGTCTCGTTAATTACTCCCAGCTGTGTCCCCCACCTGTGTGTAATCTCCCTGTGTTTCTCTGAGTGTATTTAAGTTGTGTCCTCTGCTGTAGTAGCTGCTGGTCTGTCTGTCTGTCTACCATGTTCCATTCATGTGTTTGCACTGCTGTCACCATCATATACCATCGTCTATCTTCCTTCATGTTCAGGTTCCTGTTCTGTAGTTAGTTGTTCCCAGTATCGTTTAGTTCATTCTCCGTTTGCCGTTTGTCTATTTTTATTTTGTGTTTAATAAACCACCTTCACACCTTTACAAGTGCCTGCGTTTGGATTTTCCTTTATTACTTCCACACGGCTCATCTCTATCGCCATGACACAGTCAAAGTTATTGGAAAGAGCTTCAAGGAACTGCAAAAGCAGAAAAATGCTCCTTGGTTTAATTTTAAAACTTAAACAAATATATCCTTTGAATGTTTAATTTAGCTGAAAAAGTTATAGGCAGCAGGAAAGAAAGCAAAGCACTTTGATTTCCAGTCCAAATAATGAAAACAATGGATGGATTTCCTAGAGGCCGGAGTTGTTACATACTTGTCTCTTAGCCCAAAACTTATACTGAAGATCTTCACCAGAAATAAAGAGAAGAAACTGTATTTACTGTAGAAGTGACGTCAGTTCTAAGAAGTTGTAAGAACAATCTTTTGACTTTATTCACAGTTTTGAACTGGGAGTGAGCCCCTGAGTGAGCCGCACCTCTTCCTTAGCCCTCTGAGTGATAAAACATCTCTTTGATATGGATGATCTTTGAAAATGCCAGAAGAAGAAAAAAAAGATCAAGTGTTTGAAGTTTGCTCACACAATCTTCTACCAACTGAGATAATGTTTCTCTTTGGTTCCATAGGAAACACCCAAGGAAATGACCGATGAATTCTCCTTTTCCAGATGTGTTTTACTCCTCTTACCCTTTGCTGTTCCAGTAACAACATTGCCGTGTTATATAGCTTATCGCTGGCATTGATGGCCAGGAACAAAATCAATTAAGCAAATATACTGTGAGGGTTACAGTACAGCTACTCTGTGCAAATACTCATGTTAGAAGAAGGGAAAACAAACAATGAGCACATCTTTTGTGAAAGATTATAATTGTGCTATGCACACACACACACACACACGCACGCACGCACTCACGCACGCACGCACGCACACACACACACACACACACTTGTAAAATGATTGTGTTTTTTTTTTGATGAATGTGAAGGCAAACAATAACATTGCTTCATCTTTGCAAAAGAGCTTCTCTTTGAGCCTTTTCCTAACCCACTCTGTCCTCTGGTTGCAAAGAAAAATATTTATAGTGTGAACAAATGTGTCTTTTAACTGCTTTAGGTAGTTAAAAGAGAAGGTTGCATGGTGTGATTGAAAAGATCCACATTGTGCTGCGTGCAGAATGCTTTCATGGTTAAAATAACTTAATTTGGTTATTTACTTCCTATATTTAGGTGACCATACTTGATGTGGTCAGACCTGTTTAACAACACACAAGAATTATAAAGTCAGCATCAGTTTGAATTAATCACATCTTCAGTTCCAAGATTCCCAAACAGCGGCCCTTGCAATTGATAAAGAATTAAGGGAAAATGTGACAAAGGTTGTTCTTCCTGGTTAAAAAAGGCATTTTTCCTTTCCACCACTGCCTAGTGGCTGCTCTGATGGCTTTCTCTCCAATACTGTAGGGCCTTTATAGTGATTTGGCACTACAGAACAAAAGGTCAATCGAATTGAATTAAACACTACATCCAGGATAAACCCTAGTGTCCCCACTCTTACAGTTAAGAAAATGGATAAATATATAAATACCTGAATTTAAATGTGACATTAACCTTGATGTCAGAGAATATGGTAAAACTAGACAGCAGAGATGTTTAATAAGTGACAGACAAATTTTAAATTTCCAGCTATTGCTATTAAAAGGAACAGAAATAGTTTGCTATAGGCTGAAATAGTTAACTAAAAGCAATTGACAAATACTTTTCTTAAATCTTTGAGATAAAATTCTACTAAAAAGGTTGCTTGACAATATTCACAAAGTTAAATAAACTGCTAGTTCCTTCATATCAGGTGAAGGTTTGTCCTTGTGTTCAGTAACAGCCAGCTGATTTCTAACTTATTAAATGTCCCTATCTTCTGTTCTTGTGATATTTTTAGGACTGTATACAGAAACATAACACTTCTCTATATTATAGTTTAATTCCAGTTATGAAGCCATACATAAGTCTAAATATGCTCCCTAAGATTAGTTCTCAGATCTTAACACTAGCTGTGTGTGTGCAGCACTGCTGCCTGACAGCAGGAAGGTCATGGATTTAAACAACTGGAACCTGTGTATGTGCAGTTTGTGTTGGCTCTTCAACATACAGGTGACCTTTCCATGTCTCTTTCTGTGACACCCTATGAGAGCTGGAAAACGCTCCAGTTACTCTAAAGAAGAAAATAAATGGTTAAATGGTTCTGAAAAATACGCAACCAAAACTAAGTTTTATAAAACTTAAGTTTTAAACTGTGTTAAATTTTATAAAGGCTCTGTTGTACTTTTGTATTGCTTTGTTGTTGAAAGGTGAGGTGCAGTTAAACCTTTTCTTTGAAATATCTGCCTGTTGCTTCTGCCAACAGATATAGAAATACAAACTTTCTCAAGCTGACATAAACATATTTGTAATGCTTTAAAAGAAGAAGAAGAAGAAGAAAAAGCAATGGACGACATGACGGGTAGCGAGTCTTTTGTTTGCACTTCCCCCGATACAGTCCACCTTCTCATTTTCCATCACATTTTTGGTTTGAACTAACCAGTTCAAATAACTTCCTCTAATTCATACTGTATAAAAAGTAAACAAAAACACAATGCAGTGACAAACTGAAAACATGTCAAACATTTGAACACAGACAATGTACAATTTTCAGAAAAATATTTTAATATGCAGAAACACACATCAAAAGTTGTCATTGCAGCTCAGCTATTTGACTGTGCAGTCAAAGTATTGCAGTTAATTAGACTTAATGGCAGTAGGTCAAAAATATCACTGGGTACTGTAAATAGCTCCTCAGCTAAAGCACAATGTCATTAAAACATTTAAAGAATGTGGAAAGACCAGCAGCTGATTACAGTTGGTAAAGGAAATGGGAATGGCACATAGTGTAAACATGATCCCATCCCAACTTTTTTGACATGAGCATTTTTTTAATGGTATATTTGGATGCTGTATGCAAAGCACTAATAAAGTACACACCATAGCTCTAATATTTGACTGTGCACTGTTTTATCCAAAGCATTGAACTCTCCTCCATACCCTACTATCTCTGCATTACTTGTTTGTTTGTTTATGTTGAGTAAATGGACACAATTGAGGTTGTGGTCATGAACTAGTGGTTGTCCATCTCTACTGTCTGGGCGCCTTGAGATTTGAACCCTAGAATAAACATAGATTTCTAATCTAACATCCAATCTGAAGTTTAGCAGTGATGGTGCGGCTAGGTTGCTGTGACCGGGCCCTGCAGCGAGGGTGGAGACGCACTGGAAAAACATAATGTTTGCACACCCCATTTAAAGCTCATCAAAGACATTTGATTTTACTATAATTCCTTTCAAGATTAATGTCTCTTCTTTCTCTCAAAAATGCTCATGTTAAAACAAATCCGTGTACAAAACACATTTTGCATCCAATGTAAATAACCGACTGAGCACGTACACACAAATCCACATTCAGTGTTTAACAGATAAACAAAAACCTCCCATGAGGCTCATTTCCCATATAGCATCACATAAACGAATGAAAAAACTGAGGTCCTCTGCAAGCACTGGCAGACAACTAGCAATGGTTTATTTTTTTCCCTAGTCTAAATGATTATGAGTGGAATAACACTTTCATTTTGGTAATACTGCCGCTGTCATTTTCATATCGCCAGTCCAGGCGACACAGATGTGTTAAAGTTTTTTTTACATAGCTGCTCAGGAACTGGGAGGTGTTTTTCTCACTATTTACTGGCACAAACAGCATTAAAAATAAGTCTTCTGGGTAAATTCCTGTGAATAATGTCATTTACATCAAATGGTAATATTTTAATGGAATATCTGAAGGGCGAACCGAGAAACGAGTGACCACTCGATTAGGAATAAATTACTATCTGAAGGCAAAAGTTAAAGTATAACCAAGTCGAGGACTACTGGCACTGAAAGATCAGTTATTTATAAGCAGATCTCTCAGTACTGTAAATCTACAAAAAAAAACCCTGACTTTAAACAAATAGCAAATTATTGCCAAATTTCACATATTATACTTAATCTAATTTTTTTCTGTTTTTTTTTTTCTAGGAATGGGAAGCATCATATCATTCAGGAAGTACTTCAGCATTTTAGTAGAATTTCAGTAAAACCGATGTGAAACATGAGTCCGAGCTGCAAAGTACAAAAATTATTATTTATTTCATGCAGTTGATCAAACACTAAAAATACTTGGTCTTAAAACGTTTAATACTGCCCTTATTCGTTAAACCTGCTCTGCCTGGTAATAGTCATCTCTGATTTGCAACAGATGCTATAAACCAAAATAAAGTGCAGTGTTCATGGACAAGTTAGTCCATGAACACTGCACTTTTTTTGGTGCAAGGTCTCGCAGGATTGCAGTGTCAGAGAGCACATTTGACCCTGCACATTTCAGCTGTGTTTCACAAGTTTATTTAACTTGCTGTATAGTGTCACCATCATACCAGTGACAATAAACAAATATTTTCTCTAGAATTTCTTTAGATTTGATTTACCTAATCCTGTGAAATTACAACAAATAATGTGTCTTCTTTTATGAAACAGGAAGTGAGCCTGCTGCAGGCTGCGTTCATCAGATGAGCACTTTATAGCTCCCTGATTCTCTCTAATGCAAATGTGCAGCAAGATTATCCTGCCGGTTTGTGTTGGGCTGTGTTTTATGGCTGGAAACTGCTGCATTCATCTGAATGCGACACGATGAGTCACAGTCAAATCTGAGTTTGGCATCTGTTTGGTAACAGACAGGAAGGCTTTAAACCCAATTAGTGTGCTAAAAAAAATAAATAAAAATAAACTCCCCACACAAAATACCACTTGGCTAAATGTTCCAGCAAGTATTAATGAGACAGAGTCTACTGGGTACGTTTATGAAGACACCAGCAGTGAGTCACTAGGACCACTAGATGCCTCCATTTGTTACCACAAGAATGTTGCTCCACAATCTGTTTTAATATGGAAAAAAACCCCACTTTAATAATTTTCTTACTGTTCTTTATAAGTTCTACATTGCACTTCATTAAGCTTTCCGGGAAGTAAGCATTTTAACACCTCTGTGAGATTACATCACATTTCAGTAAAATTGCTGTGTGGTATCAATTGTGTGAGAGAGAATGAGGAAGTGATGTCAGAGTTTGATGTTTCTGCGTGGCAGCTAGTGAACCGGACAGTTCAAGGCCACTGGATAAATCTTTCTTTGTATCATTAATTAGATTAGATCATAGCTTAATGGTGAAAAAAGGAAAAGGGGAATGGGAAGATGAAAGACAGAGGAGTTCATTTAGCTGACTGCAGTAGGAGAAAGGTGAGGATGTGTGGGAGAGATATATTGATGGAAAGGAGAGGACTCTGAAGTGGGTCATAAATAAGAAAGGGCAGAAAGAGAGAAAGTGTTTAAGGACACAAGGTTTAGTTTAGCAAGTCACTTGAATTTTATTGAGGAAACTGGAGAGACTGGTGTGAACCTGTTGTGACACCAGCTATAAGAGAAATGTTTTCAGACCGTGAGTTTTTATTTCTTTGTTTTTCATCACTATTTTTTTTTTTTTTAACTCCTGGGTTTGTGTTACACAAATGAGTACAGGTATCCCTAATATACACAACTCTGGCTGTGAGCACAACAACCTCTTCTACTTGCTGTTCAAACCTTCTATTTGTGCCGAGCAGCCAATCAGAAGAAATTTAACTTAAATAGAGGGGGAACAGGGTGAATACTTGAATTCATCAGTACAGACATATTTGTTCAGCTGAATGTTGAGATTATACTGGTAGGAAAGGTAGCAAAGGTGATAACCTGTATGTTGTTTTCACAGCTTGTTTCTGCTGCCTCCAAGTGGCCAAAGGGAAATCAGACAAGCTTTGGTGCCTTTAAATTTTCTCTTTGCAACAATTTGTCTTGTGTACAGAAGCACATTTTAGCAGAGGGCTCTGGTGTAACATGTTAATTACTCTTTCATGTGTGACAATCTTTATCTTTTTTCCAAATAATATAATATAAACATTGTATGCAGTCTATGTTTGTTTTCCCCGTGATTTGTGTTGGTCATATAGAGGCTGTTTGTGCTGCTGGTGAGTTCAGAGAGCTCATGACAGGGAAAGGCTACCATATGGCAAGACAGGAAGGAGGGTGTGTGTGTGTGTGTGTGTGTGTGTGTGTGTGTGTGTGTGTGTGTGTGTGTGTGTGTGTGAGAGAGAGAGAGAGCACATCACATTGAAGAAGGAGGGATGGGAAATGACAAGAGGTTTAAGAAGACAGAGAATGATAGAGACCGGAAAAGGAGAATAGACCTGGGCGATGGTGATGATGATGATGGGGTGGGGGGTGGTGACTGAGATGAGTGAGAGATGGTGGGTGGCAGAGCGTACAGCTTGGAAGCAGAGGAGGTGACAGTGGGGGGTGTTCGCTGCTCAGTGATGTGTTATGAGCCGACTTCCCCCACTACACACACAGAGACACACGTCTTTTGTCACTTAAGAAGATGTTGAGTTCTTCTTTTATTGTTTCCTGGAGAGTTTTTTTCTTTATTGTCGTTATTATAAACAGATTCAGCAAAGCATTTATCTCCTCGAGCTTCATGATGTCCTCCAGCCTGTCTGTTGGTATGTTTCTGGTGTTAGATAAATTTGATGTATTTTCAGCTGCAGATTATCAACTGGTTTTTTTTTTAAGTAAGGTGGCTAAATGACAGATCCAGTGACCCTTTTCATTGTAACACTGAAGAAGCAATGTGGCTCAACAATGCCTGTATTTTATTTATTTATTTATTCATTTATTCAGTTATTTTTTACCTTTTTTGAGCTATAATCAAAGCCTAGAGTCTGTTGGCAGCATGCATTTGCTTCAGGTTTTGGCATTTTTAGTGGGGTTTGCCAACTATAATTAAAATATATGTAATATATCCAGGCTTATCCTTCACCACTAAAACTTAATGGTTTACCTTGTTGAAACCTTCCTTTAGAGGTGAGCCCCCCTGATATAACTGTATTAACAGATTTATGTCCCCACAATAAGATTAATAAACACACACTCTCTCTCTCTCTCTTTTGCTCTAGCTCTCTCCTTAGCTCCCTCCCTCCCTCGCTCTCCCTTATTCTGGCTCTGTTGCCAAGGCTACCGTACAGCCTCTTGCTGCATATACCTAGACGAAGCTGCCGCCTGTGGATCTCTCTCTCTCTCCTTCAGGATACAAACAAAAGAAAACCCATCAGACTTTCATACCTCTGTCTCTCTTTCTCTCACGGACACACAAACACACACACCCCTTACATTTGCAATTTCTTGTTTTCCTAGGCTCACACGCGTCCTCTTACTCTCTGTGTCTCTCACTGTCGGTCTGTCTCCTTCTTACATGCAAACACACTCCTCCATCTCCCAGACAGAGAAGCAGTAAAGGGATTGGCGTGGTTCTTGGTGTTTGGCTCCTGGTGGTTTGGCTCACAGGGAGCAGAGCAGCAGATGGCGATGTGAAGACGGGCTCAGCCAGGTAAGAGGACTTATCCTAACCAGACTTAAGGCTGTGGTTGAGTGACTGTGACCGTTCCAGCCCTCCTCGCCTCTCCGCTGTCTCTCGCTCTTTCCCCCTGCGTGGCTGTATGACATGAGGTGAATACCAATTCCTCAGCAAAGCCCCTACGGTTTACATGGCTGCTGCGCTTTCCTGTGCTGTAAAAAGGTAGGAGATGTGTGATGTAGGAGGTGTATATGTGCGTGTTTATTCTTAGATCATTGAAACTGATCATTTGCCAACAGGTTGGTCCGTCGATGGCGCTTTTAACTGTGTATTTTCCTTCTCGTTTATCACTCAAAGCTTGATTTCCTCTGTGTTGTATCATGTCTATGTGACAATGTGGGAGTTACCAGAGAGAGATGCAACAGTCCACCTCCCCGAGTGATTCATTACTAATCCATCCAGCTCTGCACTGTGTGGTCGCTCTAGCTCACCGTAGCCATGTACGTGATATGAATGGTGTTTTGTCTTAGTATGAATGACTGCCAGAGAATGCCATTCCTGCACTGGTGTTTTGATGCAGTGCAATCAAACACAATCTTTTGTCACCAAGAATCCAGATTTATCTCCAGCAGCCTGTAAATCAATTTGCTATGCAGCACATTTTAATTATTCATACAGTACAGCTTTGGCTGAATTGTAAGTTTATATGTGCCTTAATGAGATTTCTCTCCAAAAATACCCATGGAGCAGCTGCGAGCGATCGTGGGAGTGTATGTAAACAATAGAGCTGATTGATTATCTGTCTTTGTGATATACAAGAAAAGGCTGCAGGTTTGCTGGGCATTTCATTTTAAGGTCATTGCTGGCTTATGTGTGTATTAATATCAAGATTTTCTGTGTGTGTATGGGAGATAAAGGTTGATGAGGCTGGTCTTGGCCCTCGTGACTTTATCTCATGTTTCCATCTCATCATCACTTTCAGTAAGAGCTTCCTCTTACCTCGTCTCTCTGCCATATGAGCACTTCAGCAACACACTTGATACTCGCCCTTTATTCACTTTGATTCTCCTGGAAACAGGTTGTTTTTTAAATAACAGACTAAAGAAGCAGATTTGGACTTATTGTTTTTCCACACAGAGACGCTGGGAGCATCAGGAATATCCATTAAAGCGCACGCCAGCTGTCACCACTTTAATTCCCCCTGTTCCCGACAGTAGGAAAAAGCTATACACAGCTGGCAGCCCCCTTCTCATTTCTGGTCCTCGAGCCCTTCTGGGACAGAGGCAATAGGCATTTTGTACGGCCCACTTTTAGACTCCATTGGATGGTGGGTTCTTGAATGGATGCAGATCAATGGAAACAGTATGCGCATACTCTATTTGAAGACTGAGGGGGTGGTGTTTGTAAGACCCAAGGACAGTACACCTTCAATGAGGAATGAGGCTCAATCCGTCATCAGGTTTGACCTATTTGCTTTAAATTCACTCGGCCTGAGCTCAATCCTCAGCTAAATGATTCTGATCTTTTTGGATTTGTAATAAAATCTTTAATTTTCATTGTAAGCTCCTGAACTATCTGTGTTAATATATTCTATAGAAGCATCAGTTGAAACAAAGCTTTCTTTTCGAGAAATTTGCAAACATACCAGATATGACTGTGAAATGCAGATAAAATCATGCACAAAACAGCTGGAATGGGAACAGTAAATTGCTCTGGGTTGATGTTTTTGTTTGTGTTAAATGATTATAGTGTAAATGAAAAGCTTATCATAAACTTTCAGATTTTTTTTATTCTATTATGAATAAATTCTATCTTCAGAACTGTAATTAAATATACCTTTACATGTACATGCAACATGTTTGGAAACAGAATGCAATATAATATAGCTGACCAGATATATATTATTTATTCATCAGTTTAACTGAATCCGGAGTTGCAGCGAGTATTTTAATTCTCATCTGCAGACTACGCAAACAGCAATATTTAAATTCATGTCTTTTTCTGCAACATTAGAAACATTAAAAAGGGAAGGAACAGAAATTGTACAATAATCTGGAAGTAATGAGAAACTTCTGATGTATTTAGCGTGTACAATTCACTAATGTTGGAGTAATGAGTAATGAATGAGTAGGAGAAGAGGACTCGTGACCTCAGGATTTCTGAGATCCCAGCGACTGCTTGGGTTAAATATATCAGACATTTTGCCAAACAAGCGCTGAGACAAAGCAAGTAGCAGAAAAACAGAAATATTTACCTCAAAGAATAAAAGCAAAGAGAGGCCGATTTTTTTTTTTTCTTAGGGCAAACGTGAATGTTGTCACTGCTCTCCCAGTGCAGATGTGTGTTTGTGTTTTTCATTTTTCATGCGGGGTATCTGACAAAAGTCTGTGTATATGTGCGCGCACACACACACACACGCTACAGTATGCTGGTTGCCACAGTTACCAAAACGCCAACCTCACTGCGTCATTGCTTCAGACAACCTTCACACAAAAAAAAGAGTTGCTCTTCCTTCCATTCATCCCTTCATCCACTCTTCTACCTGTCCACCTATTGTTGAAAAATGGAACACATTGAAGCACTCTTATACAACACAATCCATGCCTGTGTGTGTGTGTGTGTGTGTGTGTGTGTGTGTGTGTGTACTTAACATACGTGTGTACGTTGCATGTATGCACATTGCCATGGCTACAAGCCAGTCTAACTGGCGTCATCACTTCAAAACCACCTTCACAGCAAGCAAAGAGAAAGAAACGGACTCAAAGTGAACACACACACACACACTAAGCTCCTGCTACTGGTGTGGTCTCATATTCCGCTGAGCACACCCCATTCGTTCAACAGGGTCCAGTGGCACATAAGGAGAGAGGGGGAGATGGTAGAGAGGAGAGGAGGGCAGAGAAGGCTCGACTTCATCATGCATACTGATTCGACTGGAGCAATCTGAATGTATTTCTGAGGGTGTCTGCTTAGTCTGGCTTGAATCATCCCTGCCTCTTCGGGATGCAGAGAGAGGCAGGGAAAGAAAGAGTGGGGAAGAAATATTGACAGTTTACTGTGTCACCTTACATCACTATCCTCCCCTCATGAGCGCACAGCTGGGAGTCTACAAGGGTGCTACTCTGATCCATCATTAGAGAAAGCTGAATTATTAACCTTCTCTCAGTGTCTATCAATGTTACCAGTTGGATTTGTCACTCTACTGTCTATCATAGACTTTAAACTAATGGATGTATCCACCGTGTCATCGCTCATTGGTTCGTAAACTGATATTTTGATGCCCAAACTTGCATCTAGGAGGTATAGGGCTCACACCACACAGACTCGGATAAATGGCGCAAACTTCTGCGATTTAATTGTATTAACAATAGTCCGAAAGGTTCACTGCTTAAGTGGTAGTGTTAAAATATCATATTATCAAGTGATCGTTTAAAATGGTCACACCGTGAACCACGTATAACCATGCAGGTGACTCATAAAACTGTATTTTTTGCACCAGTTTTGTATTATTTTGTATTATCCCTGGCTATTTGAGGAAGAGACACTTTCTTACTTGTTTGTTGTTTTTTTCTGCTCCAGAGGTTGGAGAGATTTGCATGTTTAGTACATCTGCAACAGCTTTATCATTTTGCTAACCTTTGAATGTAAGCCCTGAGCTACTGTCTTGTGTCTTTTAGAATTGACTCTGCCTCACAATGGCTGACTGTGACCGGATGCCCCAGGATACAGGTTTTACCTTGATCATGTGATGTGACTCCCCTGCCAGTTCGTTGCCATCTCTCATAGGTCAGTCAGTCATTTGACTTTATTGACCTTTGATGTTAGAAAACACACAACGCATTGTCTTTGTGTTCAGATCGTGGCACGATGTGTTGCTTTTTGAGATCTTTTATCTTGCTGAAGCAGACTCTTTAAGGGATTTCTTGATTCATCAGATCTGCCAGTAATCAGGCCTGAGTATGTTTAGTGAAACTGAACTTAGCTTTCAAAACAATGTGGTTAATTACAGTTAATTCATGATTAAACAGGAGGGGCAATCACTGTGTTACACAGGACCAGGTAGGCTTGGATAACTTTTCTCCCTTAATCAATGAAATCATCATTTAAAAACTGCATTTTGTATTTACCCTGCTTATATTTGACTCTGATAATAACATTGTTTTGATTATCTGAAACATGTGACAATATCTATCTATCTATCTATCTATCTATCTATCTATCTATCTATCTCTCTCTCTCTCTCTCTCTCTATCTCTATATATATATATATATATATATATATATATATATATATATATATATATATATATATATATATATATATATATATATTGAAAGTGCTGAGCGGAAAAGAGCTTTGAATACACTGCTGACTGTGTGTGTGTGACTGTGTTGTCAGTAGATGATAATGCTCAGGACGGATGAGAGGGATGAGAGCCACTCTGTTGCCAAGGTGACGGACAGGGCTGTAAACACGCTACCCCTGACTCATTTCTCCACAATGGAGCCTCTCTCTCTCTCTCTCTCTGTCAAATTCACACACACACGCACACACACACACACACACACACACACGATGGAGTCCAATCTAAGGGAGACAAGAGGATCCGGAGATGAGAGCCACTCTGTGCTGCTTAGCTGTACATTTGAATAGACCTGCAGAATAAACGCAACCTTTTTGTCATATACACGCTCATTTAGAACCACACATTAGACACACGCAATGTGACAAACACAGATAGCACATACTTGAAATGAAAATCAGCATGTAGTCCCAGTGTGGCTGAAAATTATGGCCTCGACATTTTATTGTACACAAAAGCAGAAAAATCGCAAATAAGTTGTAAGTACAGAAGAACACCTGCATGTTAACATCTGTATGTTTCAAACACCAGGTACTGTAGGTGTTTCAGAGTCTAGGATCCTATCAAAGATCTCCAAAGTATAAGTAAATGTGTTGCCATTTGTCTACATTTTTAAAGGGTTAAAAACTGGAGTTTGTATTTGATGGGATGATTTTCAGATAATGGCACACATAAAACCGAACACCTAATGATAAACACGTGTAAACTAAATGCATTTAAAATCTGATTTATAACATATGAAAGGCCTTTTAACACAAAGGAACCTCGTTCAACAGGGGCATCATGACCCGTCGGCTGAGTAGCTCCACTCGTTCCCACACCGAGGACTCCATCTTCCTGAGGCCTGATGAGGATCCCGTTTGGCTAGACGAGCCCACAAAGACTGAAAAAATTGGCGACGGAGCCCTTAAAAAAGACGGGCTCCTAGAATGTAAAGATGGAACCGCTGAGGGCCAAAACCCCCAAGAGGAAGTGTTTTTACGCAAGGTGTACACACTGGTGATTGAACTCCACTGCTGGGCAGCACTGTTTATCACTTCCCAAATCTTGGTATGTGTTCCAGGCTCTCTATCATCTGCTTTTAATCAGAGTAAGTTTTTAGGTCGTCTTTGGGTTTCACCTGCAATATCCGCCTTGCAAATGACAAGTCAACACTTAAGCTTGAGGTTTTCTTTCAGCGTGACCTTTAATTTTCCACAGTGGTTTATCTTTTCATATGTATGATTGCATTTTCATATTTGCTTCAAGTGCTTCAGGCTTGGAAAATACTTTTTCTGGGGGTGGCTAGATGAGGCTAAAATTTGACACCTCTTCACCATTAATTCCCTCTTCCTGTTTCCGTCTATTGTTGACTTCATGTTTGATTCATTTAAACAGAAAAAAGGACAGGTGCAACATTACCATAAGTAAATAAAAGAGCCTCGTAAATGCAGCCACGATTACGACACTAGACTCTATGTGGACAATTTACATATTTTTTATGCCTGTGTAATGGTCCATCTTCTTTCCTTTTCGCTTTTCACCTGAGAATGGCTGCAGTCCGATTTCCAGTGCATGAATGACTGGAGTGGTGACAATCTGCCTTCCTTCTTCTCTCCCCCCAGGGGTACTGGATATTTTTTGTGGTGGATGGAAATGGGCCACTCTCTTCCATCTACAAAGCCCTGCAGGTCATTGACTTCTACCTGGGGTTCATCTTACCCTGCCACCCTATTTTTGGAACGGATGTAAGTATCAATCCTAGATGTGGCTGACAGCTTTTAAGTCTGGGTGGAGAATAAACAGCTGTTTAACAGGATGTGAAGCACTCAACTATGTCTGACTAACTCATTCTCTCTCTGTGTTTCCCTTTATTGGCCAGTCAGTGGTGATGAGGGATGTGGTAAACACCACAGAGCACAATTGGATTGTTCATGGCACTGCAGGCATCGGCGTGGCCATCTGTGTAGTCATGGTAAAACACTGGCTGGATCCTTTATTTTAAGCTCTATTTTTATGCAAACATTTCACAATTTTGGTCATTTCAGCATGAATTTAATGCATGATGCATGCTGAATTGGTGTTATTTGCTATAAAGATGGAAAATAATCTTAAAAGGAAACAAGATCGATTGAATCGGTTGTTTCTTAACGTAGCGACCTGTTGTTGTGTGTTTGATTGATTTACTTATTGACTGCTTCTTTTTTGTCTTCTTTTCTATCCTTAGATCATCCACCTGGTGTGCAAGTGGAATTATGGCTCTGGCTTGTGGTCATCAGGAACTGTGTCGAGGGACATTGGTGATCGACGTCAGTCTGTGAGCCGTCAGCCCTCTTTCACCTTGTCAGAGTGGACAGATGCCCAGGAGGATCTGATAGACCTGGACCCGGTGCCCCAGACTCCAGTATTTGATATAGGTGCAGATACCAGGACGGAGGGAGATGCTGCCACCCTTACTGTCACACCAGTGGGGCTTCAGGAGAGGTTAGAAAAGAGCATCCAGCAGGTGGAAATGTTTGCATTTATGTTTGTTTTTCTTCCAGCAGGGAGACTCACACTTTATTCATTCATTTGTAATGCAGATATATGCATTTGTCTGACTGTCTGAATAAAACAGGAGAGGCTCCAATGTTTCCCTGACCTTGGACATGTGCACACCAGGCTGCACAGAGCCCTATGGCTACGGAGCCCAACTCTCTCCAAGAGACCAGTCGGCCCAGGAGTATCTCCTACAGGGAACGCACGTCCTGACCCCTGCCATGCTACACACAAGGGCCATGGACGACCAGAGCCTGCAGGCTGAGTTTTATGTGAGTGCAGCAACAGTAGCTCAGCCACCTACGTTCTCGAGATTAATATGAAATGAACAGAGACTCGCCGGAAAAGACGTACACGCACACACAGATGCAGCCACACACACCGATCGGTGCTCTGCACACGCCCGTAAGCTTTTCTACTTTCTGTTAGTGGGCGGAAGATGGAGGGATGCAAGCATTTTTTTTTCTTTTTGCATACAAAAACCCACAGAAAATTCTTGTGTCTGTTAGGAAGAAGGATGCGCGTTCACACACACACACACACACACTAATACAGCAATGGTTGAGTGTGAGAGGCTGTGAATGACTTCACGTGTTTAATATTATTTCCTCACCGTTTGGTTGTTATGTAGAAGGTGACTTTTGGACTTCCCCATTTCTTCACTTTCATTTGCCTTCATTGTTCTGTGTCCATTGGCAGGAAACTCCCATGAACTTTGTGGACCCTAAGGAGTACAATTACCCAGGGCTGGTGAGAAAGAATCGCTACAAAACAATTTTACCCAGTAAGTAGAGCTGTAACACAAGCTAGTGACATCAGTTACTATAAACATAATATTGAGGTAGCAATTTTTAAAACTATTTTTATGCTGATTATCTTAAATAATTTTGCATCCTCTTTCACTTTAATGTTAAAATGTGTTTGCAAGACATCAAATTTCCAGTATTTATGTTCACAATGACACACATAAGGGTGCAACCATTTTGTATCACTGAGCTGTAGGATGAGATACAGAATGAATGAATGTGTAACCAGCTCCCTTTCTCATGATAATGTCACATTGTCCACCTGCAGACACGCACAGCAGAGTGATCTTGAAGTCACAGGATGAAGATGATTTTCTTTTTACCTATATCAACGCTAATTATCTCAAAGTAAGTTCAAATGCACTCTGATGCAGCGATTTGTTATGGCTTTGATATGTAATGGTAGCAAAACAACGAGTGTGTGCATGTGCAGGGTTATGGGGGCGAGGAGCGTGCATACATTGCTACCCAGGGTCCCACTGTGAACACAGTGGGGGATTTATGGAGGATGGTGTGGCAAGAGAGGACCCCAATCATAGTGATGATCACCAACCTGGAGGAGAAGAATGAGGTAACTGTTCAAAGGATTCTTTGATAAATGTTCCTAAATATTAACCAGCTATATTATCTGCTGTGTCTATTGTTTCTTGTAGAAATGTGCTGAGTACTGGCCCGAGGACACTGTGACACACGAAGGCATCGAAATCACTGTGGTCAAGGTGACCCAGGAGGATGACTACAGTCTGAGGGTGTTTACTCTGAAGGTAACCGACAGAGAATGCATTAATATGTGAAATACAAAGGGTGAACCACAACAACACCACTTTAATGTTTTAGCTTCAAGTAATGCCAAAAAGCTGTTTGCCTCTAATGATATGCATACATGAAAATGGAAACAACCTTATACAGAGGTGGATGGGTGGGGGGATGGGGTTACAGTGGTGGATGCTCATGTTAAGCGTGGCCAAAGTTTCATTTAGGTCAACATATGTAAAACTAATCCCGGTGAGCCAAAAGCTCAGGTCTGCTCCAAATAGTCTGCTCGAGACAGATGTCAAATGGAGTGGATATCCATAATACGGTCTCAGGCACAGGTCTGGCTGTGAGGACATAAGCCCCACCCATCTGCTGTTCACATGTTCTGTTTGTAAGAGGCAGCAAATCAGAAGAAAGTTGACCTAAAGGGATGACAGAATACATACTGAGAGGGATGCACAAAGAAATAAGTGAACGAAACAAAAATATAGAACTAGTTACAAGTTATTTTAATTTTTTTTCTGGTGCTCATACTGTCAAATATACAGTATGAATTAAAACAAAACTAAGGGTTCACAGCCAGGTTCTTAACATGTAATTAGGAACAGAAGTGTGCAAGTTAAACCCTGTCATCTGTATGCTAATGTGCTTAAAGCAGTAAAGGCTTTCATGAGCAGGTAACATCAGAAAGCCTCTGTATCATTGTCCTGAATGATGCCTTGATAAACTTTAGAATTCATTTTCCTCTCTCTTGGCCCAAAGGCGATAAGCCGTGGCAAAGTTGACAATCCTGCACGTGGCTAATTCCAAAGGATTACCCACCTTTACTTTATATGTCATCTGTGTTAGCAGACGTCTTTCCACGTAACACCCTAAAAAATTTTAAAAGTGTGCTTTATGTTATATTCAAAGTGGAAATTTCTCTAAAGATATGTTACATTTTTGTTTTTATTCTTTCAATCTAAGGCACTTAAATTAAATTTCATCCCTTAGGTGCCAATTTAAATTCAGATGTTAGATGTGGATCAGAACTATCTGCATGGCTACAATATCAGCCATAAATCCGTGCGTTTTAATTAGCTACTTTTACCTGCATCTGCTGATACGTATGTGCACGATTAAATGCACTGTTTACATGATGATCCCTCGATTAATGTCGCAAAAACACTGCAGAAGATTATTATTTTGTGTTCCAGACTCAACAAAAACATGTTTCTAAAATTATGTGTATCAAACAGTCATATTTTATCCAGTAATTTATCACAACAGATATGGGTGTTGGAAGGTGGTTCGCTCAACGCTCCATTCATGTGTTCATGATGGGTGCTTTATTTTTAATTTGAGGTCATGGTGGCATCGGCACTTAGCAAACAAAACAAGATAATTCAGTAAATGCAGCCTGCATCCGATTGCTAAGCACCAGGGGATCATTATGTAACTGCAATGAGTTAAAAGCTTGTTGATTATTCATCTCCTCATGTTATGTTGTTTATCTATAGGATTCATAATTATTGGTGGACTGACTTTCAGAAATTTGTTTATGCTCAGTACAGACCAGGACAAATAGTCTGTTTTTGTACAATCTCTTTTTTTAATGTTTGTTCTGCGTTCACTACTAAACCAAGGCAACTGTTTGGTCAAGCATGAAGAGCAACAGGTGTTCTCTGTGTGCTTGGTATAATGACATCTGTGTCACTGTCTGTGTGCATGCACCAGTGCGGGGAAGAGGAGCGCACTCTGCGGCAGTACTGGTACACTTCCTGGCCTGATCAGAAGACCCCAGACAAGGCTCCACCCCTGCTGGAGCTGGTGCAGGAAGTGGAAAGGGCCCGTGAGGAAGCCCTGCCCTCCAGTGGCCCTATAATTGTCCACTGCAGGTACAGGGCTAAAGCAACTTGTTTGTAGTATTGGGAGCATGAAAGATTTCATATTTAGAAGATAAAGCCATCTTTAGTTTTATATTACAGTATCTTGTTTTGCTGGTTTTTGTCACTGCACAAATCAATTCAGTTCCTCGATTTATGGTGCCTTCGCTGAAATTGAAATTTCAGTGAATACAAAAATCCAACACATTACTTCTCCAACTTTTTCTTTACAGTGCTGGAATTGGTCGAACTGGCTGCTTCATTGCCACCTCCATCCTGTGCAAGCAGCTGAGGACTGAGGGTGTAGTTGACATCCTGAGAACCACCTGCCAGCTCCGTCTGGACAGGTGAGATATGCTTAGAGCTCTTATCTGTGCTCGTGCCTATCTTTAGTTCTGGCATAAAAGCTCAGCTGACGTAGTTTGATTTAGTTCCAAAAAGAAGGTCACCAAACCTTCTTCTAAATTATCTGTCCTTCCATCCGTCTTGTGCTTATCCAATTCAGGACCGGGTCGGGGATCTTAAAATTATAGTCCATTAATTACACACTTCAAAAAACCATGCATGGTTCTGTGAGTGTTAAAGGAAATGATTACCTTTACTCACTTTTGAGTCAGAAAACAACAAGCATGGGTGCTACTAGTAATATTATTTATGTGAGGTACAATCCCAGCCGGCCATCAAGCACATTAGAACACCCACAATGAAAGCAGTCATTATTAGCGTTATTGGATACATCTGAGTTTAATAAGTCAAGATGTCATGGCTAATGTATTTCATTCATTGTTTGAAAAAATGTGATAAACATTTTATTTTTTGCTGGAGCTGATAAACAAATGTTGACTTTAAACGAAATTTTTCCATTTAATTTTGTTATATAATTACTATGTGAAGTGTTAGATTTAATGGTATCTCTTTGTGTGTGTGTTTTTCAGGGGTGGCATGATACAGACGTGTGAGCAGTACCAGTTTGTGCATCACGTCCTGAGCTTGTATGAGAAGCAGCTTTCTCAAACTGCTGAGGAGTAGATGGAGCCCAACAGCCACACCCAGACCGAGACACACCACTGTACACGTAACCGCCTCAGGTGGTATGCACCACTGTACCTAACATCATCTCAATCTCACCCTTTAACAAGTTCAAACCATGTTATTCTCTTCACTCAAGGCAGGGTCACTCAAACAGAACTGAATCTGTGCTAATTGTGCGTGGTTGAGTAGAACAAATATAGAGGAGGTGTGATTTGAGATAACTCACCTGAAAATAGTAGTAACGCAGTCCCATCGATCCACATGTTCTTGATAAGTTGAAGCAGTCACACCTAAAATAATCCAAGCCAGCACTCTCGCCTTCATTTCATTTGCACTGCTAAGGTTTCCATCACACCACTGCACATTAGTCTCCGTCATCGAGGCCTTGTTTTGCACTTGGTCTAAAACAGCTTCCTCGTGTAATGATTGTACAGTTATCGAAAGGTTAGACTGGAAGTGAAGTATAATCAGATCGCCTGCAGTGGTGTGACTTACCTGTAAGGAAATGAAAGAAAGTATGTGTTGACAATAAGGGCCCTTTACAGTATAAGTGTCAGCATCGTTTAAATCTACAGAGATAATCAAATGCCAGCCTAATATTTAACTATACTGATATAAAAGTTCATATGAAATGTAAAAGTAAATGACGTCTAGCCTTTTCTCTCAATTTCAATGTAAAAAAAAAAAAAAAAAATCATTACAGAAGGCCTGTCTCAACTTTTGCTGCATTCAAGAGTCACCTCATCTTCAGGTTGCATGGTGCTAAGTGTTCATTAAAGGCATGTGCAATGTTATGGAACATAGGAATGTATAACGATTAGGTTATTAACTAACTAATTAGTAGTGATGGGATTTCCGGCTCTTTTTAGAGATCCGGCTCTTTTGGTTGGGCTCACTAAAAAGAGCTGGCTCTTTCAGCTCCAAACCGGCTCTTCGGGTTGTTTTGTTGCTTTAATTAAATTATTATTAACAATAATATAAAATTATGCACAAAAGGAATTACTAACATAAAAACAAGTGGTTTTATTTATATATGTTTATATATAAATATACGCGGTGGCCCCTAGAGACAAAACACGTACAAACTCCAAAACACATTTCTAGCATGAACTGAACTTCCAAAGCCGAGCTACTAGATCACTTAAATTACACAATTGAAAGCATGTGTGTATTGTTTGTGTATTTATACACAGGCACTCATATATATATTCAAATAATTTAAAAAAAGTTCATTTACCTGTTATTACCACACACCAAATCCGGTCGTTGGTACTTGCTGGCTTGTGTAGCCACAAGATAACAAAGGCTCAACACTGCGCCCAGCATCCTGGAGCACTTCTGTTGTCTTTTGTACGTGTTTTGAGTTTTTATGTGCTTCTGAGTTTTTACGTGCTTCGGAGTTTGTACGTGTTTTTACGTGTTTTGGAGTTTTTACGTGTTTTGGAGTTTGTACGTGTTTCAGAGTTCGTACGTGATTTGAAGTTTGTACGTGCTTTGTCTCTAGGGGCCACCGTAAATATACTTTTATTTATTCACTCCACATAAAATGTAATAAATAAATCATATAATACAAAAATCAACTATTCACATTTCAACTTTTAACTATTTAAATTTTCAGCTTTTTCCTTTCACAAATTTAAAGTGAAAAGAACACAAAACACTGCAAACCACAACACAATTAAATATAAATTATAATATGAAAACTAAAAGAACATGCATATTCTCTGTCATATGGACCTGCATGAATAAACTTTCTCAATCCTTTATCATCTGCAACTGAAAATAGTTGTGGATGATTACTATACCTTTCTAATGTTGTTGTCCCTGCCTCTCTCTCTCTCTCTCCTGCTCTGTTCCTGTGCTACTGAGTGTAACTACCGCCCCTCCCCCCTCTGCCCAGCATAAAGCACAAGGCTCGCGTGCAGAGTGAAGCGGAAAAAAAGTGCGAGAGAGAGGCTGAGAGAAAGAAAAAAAAAAAGAAAACCCACGCGATAAGGATCCGGCTCGCGTCGTTCACGTCAAAGAGCCGGCTCTAAGAGCCATTTCGTTCGCGAACGACCCATCACTACTAATTAGGATTTCTGTGCAATCTACAGTATTACAGTTTTACCATGCTGCCTGTGCAGTCCTCATGGCCCATGATGTTTACAGTAAACAACTTCTGCATTAAGGCCACATAGACGTTAACTCAGAGGCGTCACAGAGCCAGGGATACTGAGGGGACAGAGGCCAGAAATAGAATCACACCATTAGAAAAATCAATGCAGGAGCTCCGGAGAATCCATTGTGCACAATCGACGTTTCCAGTGACACACACGGGAGGATGTAATGAAGAGGAAAGCAAAAAAAAAAAAAAAGTTGCATAAACAATACACCATAAACATAAGGATATTCTTGTAAATGTCCAATTTTCTATCATGAAGCTTGTTGCCCTCAGAGTTTCAAGTTCTGCAATGCCTCTGCTTTAAACAGTAGCTTGAACACATCTGTGAAGTAAGAAGCCCATGATTGTTGTATAGACAGGCCAGGCCTAATCTGTATGAAGCACAATAGACCAACAAAGGTTGTCTCTCCGATGTTCAGCTGTAAAAGTTCTTTTTTCTGTATTGTGTTTTGATTGTGTTGAGTTTAATGGATTGCATGTGCTGTATGGGACTCCATAGGTCCACAATCAAAGCGACGTGATTGGTTGTCCTGCTTTTTGTTGTGTAAAAGGGTTTAAGCCTATTATTATTGCTTGCTCTCGGCCAATGCTTTTGATACAGTTTGCTTTTGTGAAACCAACCAGAGATATTTTTAGAACATTTTGATACAATCCTTTCGAGTAGATGCCTTGTGTATATTTCCGTTTACACCATGATGGAATGTAGCTCATACTGTGGATCAAACCATCGGTTTATATTGCAAGATTTAACGGAACAAAATGTGACAACTACCTAAGTTACCTTACAGTACAGAAGATAAATAGATTATGTTCAGTATTATTACTTTAGGTCTTTAGGCTTTGCTTTAATATGCTTTGCTTTCTGTGTACGTTTTTATCGTTTTCTTGGAGAATTTTACCTCAGACTGAGTTTTCACACAGTCCCCACTCTATTCTATCTGTGACTCGAGGCCACTCTCAGTTGACAACACGAGAAATAATCGCTATGTGTAAGGCAGCTAAAACAGTGAAGACAGTTTTCTACAAAAAGTCAAACAACTTCTATCTTGACTATCATGACGCTTCAGATCAGTGGCCCTGGACGTTATCAGAGGATGAACTTACCAGAGTGGGCTCGGACCGCTTTATAAATAAGACATCAGCCGGGAGAATATAACTGCCAAAATGACCTTTTACAGCAGCACCTGGTTGAGACAGACAAGAAAGGCTACAGTGTATTGTCAGGCATGTGACATAATCCTCTGATAATCTCCAGTCTACTTGATTGAAAAGCTTCTATTTTGAGTGTTTGTTGTCCGTGCTTACTTGGACTTCTTCTGAAGATCAAAATGGGGATAACTTAATAGCCAAACAGTCAGACGTACAACCAACCAGCAATCAGTATTCCTCTCCTCTGCTACAGTATCGCTTTAAGTTGTGACTTTTTGCATCCAAATAAAGATAGATTTTCATGAATTTGTGTTGTTGTTTTTTTAGAGTTACTCTGCCCTGATCATCTGATCAGTCTTTTTTCCACCCCCAGTCTTTTTTGGTTTCATGCTGACAGGCTGCAATCGCACACGTTCACCGCTAGGGGTCAGTATATGCGATCTAATGACACACATTGCCAAACCTCCCTGCAGGCAACTGCTCGCTGACAGATTGTTCAAAGCAACAAAACAAAGGCTTTAATCTAACAATAGAGAGCTGATGAATTCAATGAATTCAGTGAATTTACTTGGCGGTGAATTCAAACACCAATCATCCATTCATTGCAGAAACCGGGCTGAGTGAGAATGCGATACTGTAGATCGATCAGTTTTCGTTTCTTGCACATTATTTTTAAAACACTATCTTGAAAAACATAATCAAAATTAAATCAGTGGCATCCAAATGACACTTCAGCGTAGCCTGTATCTTTCACAAAGAGAAACGGGCAGCTCAGTAGTTTGCAAGTGCAATTCAGCTTAAATCGTTTGGTCCATGACGAAGAGCAAATACGAAATAGATTTTGAAATATTAATAATAGTAATAGTCAACCATCCAGGGCTGCTAACACTGGGTGAGCCTGTTTTAGAAAATCTACTTTTACAAAATTTGGCTTTTACTTGTTATGAAGTAACACAGACACGAGTCTGAGCTTGCATGCTCATATCGTTTGTCTCGGATTTAGTTTCAATTTTTTGTATTTTTTTTTTTTTAAAAGCTCTACATTTTTACCGTAGGCCTAACCTCAGGAAACGAACCGAAAGAAATTCAGAAAAGTAAAATAGAATAAAAACTTACAAATAAAAAAAGATATAGTGGTTCCCTGCAAAACTGTATTAATGCTTAAGAAAATGACTTGCAATTGTTTTGCATTTAAATTCTAAGATCAGACTGCAGTGTAGTCTAAGTGAATACACGTTATTAATCCCAAAACGGGGGAAATGATTATTTCGCAGAAGCCAAAACATATAAGGATAACCTGCAGCAACATAGCGTAAATGAGGCAGAATAGCTGAAACACACCTACAACATAACGAGACAATATTGCTCAATAAGGCATAAAAGAGAAACAGAAACAGAAAGGAGCACATAAAAATAAAACAAAATGAGACATTTAAAAGGTGTTATGTGATTTGTATTTCATAATAATTATTTGAATATAATAAAATAAGGAAATAAATAAAGATTCATATTATCCCTGTTTTTTCTGTGTGTAAGGCAGTTTTAAAAAACACACACACTCAACGTGAGTGCGTCTCCTTTAAAAAAAGAAAAAAAAGCCGGACTGTCCCTTTAATCCGCAGATCAGATCACTGACGTCACCCTAGTCCTAAACCGTCGCCGCTGATTGGTTGGAAGTGACGTCAACCTCACAGTTTCCTTTTTTCCCGTCTCCCTCCTGAACCATGACCTCATCGCTTTAGTTCATGAAAGTGCTAAAGTGCACCTTCCGTACCTAACCACCCCCCTCCTCACACACACACACACACACACACAATAACAGCTAACAGTTTTAGCCTTCACCTAGCCTAGTAAAGCTAATCTTGCTCTCCACGAGCCAGCTGAACGGCTGAGGAGGCCGTTTGTAGCCTATCACCGCGCGCTTTCATGCCTGGTTTGCTCCTGGCGCTGTCATCCTCTGTCAGCTGAGGTCTTTACTGTACACCCCGCAACACCGCCAAGTAAACACCGGCCAGCCCCCATGAAGACTCCGCCACTGTCCCCTCACACATGGAGGCCAGTTGAATAACACCCCGCAGACGCATGGAGCCCGAGGTGAGTGCTTGAGTGTGTTTGTCAATTAGCAAGAAAGGACATTTGTTTGTTTGAATCGGCTGCTCGCTGTCTGTGCTCGTGCCCAGCTCGCTGCTGCTGCGGCGAGCCCGTCAGCTCGCACTCCTCCCCCCCTCTTTAAGTGCGCGCCCGTCTCATAATGGGAATAAACCTCGTCCATGCTCAAGTTATCGATCGTTTTATTGGGATGCAAAAAAATCGCTGTGCCGGTTTCCTATTGTAAGGTAGGTGTATTAGGTTTCTTCCCGAATTTTCTGTTTAATGTTCGCGCTGGTTAAAGTCATCACAGCCTTCCCGATCAATGGAGAGGGCTCATTTTCGCATGCGGACATATCCACGCGTCATAACAAACCCAGGCCAGGTTTCCCACTCAAAACAACCTCTCTGTAAGTGTGGGGTATAACAATAGTTGATGCTGACTGTATCCGGCGTTTTTTAAAAGCAGTGCCTGCTGTCCGCACTGGAGTCTATTCTTATTTCTAATGTAGGTCGGTTTATTGTAGTGCGCTGCGACCGCTCAGCCTCCATCATTTTGAACGCTGGTAAACGATACACAACGTCTTGTCTGTTTTTTGTTTTTGTGTTGTGTGTGTATGTGTATGTGCGCCCCCATCTCTGATGATTTGATTTTTCAGAGCATTTCTATATGTACACATTATATTTATTTGACGATGTATTTTTGTATCAGAGATTCTCGATATTATTTACATTTACATTACCTATCATGTGGCTGTTGTAGTTGAGTCTGGGGGTAGTCCCAGCTATGTATGACCCTGCATTTTACAGCAGTCAGTGCACTGAGGGAGTATTGATGAGAGGACGCCGGAAGGCTTCATGCTTGGATGTGTTGTTTACAATATGATAGCGCTGTCCAGCTGCACCAAGAAATCGATTTTTTAAAATGACAGAACCGCTGCAACAGCATGTTACACTGGTTATTAGTCGTGGTAAACACTCAGGGTTAGACAATCATCAACTATTAACCATTAATTGTAAGCATTGTTAAAAATTTGATGATTTAAGGTGTGCCAATAACTGTTTCTTTTTAAATTCCACAATAATAATTGATTACAGCTATAAATTAATTGTTTACTACGTTTATTGTATAGCTAAAAGCAGTGAATGCCACTGAACTCACAACAGTCATGCTTTCATTTATTTACCTGACAGAAAATTAATGATAAAGTATTTTCTTAATCAAGTCGGAGGTTCTCACCGGTGAAAGTCAACTAGATATCTTTTGGTTTTGGACTGTGAGACAAAACAACACTGCTTATAATGCTAACTGTTTTGGGCCTTTGTACAGACCAAGAGATTAATCTTTAACTGACAATACTTTTATTCATTCTGTCGTGATTTTGCATGATATGCTAATATTTTGCCTTTTAACACAATTGCAAGAACTTCTACTAAAATTCTCCACTATAAACAGGTGATCCTGTACCTGCTCATTAGAAGTGGCAATCACCAGACATCCCATGATACAATAATATCAGAATACTTGATATTCTGATATTATTGCAGTTTTTGGCATTTTGAAAGGGTAAATATTTCAATAGCATAGATTGTGATTTCACTGCAAATTATGTCCACAAAGTTAATCCAATAAGATAAAGCAGGAAAGCACAGACACTGTCACTAAAATCTGCCATAATTGTTGCTATTAGACAGCGTCAGTGTGCTATCAATCTGTTACTGTCTACACAGACAAAAAAACACATTTAGCAGAAATTCACATTTGTGTTTAGCTACCTTCCTGTTCTATATGAATAAAACCAGAATACATCTGTTTGGCAGCCAGCTGAGTCGAGTCCACTCATGTTATGTTCATTGAAAAAAGCAGCATGTTGCAATTGGTCCCAGAATGTGAAAAGAATCCAGTACAATCACAAGGCAACCACAGGTTTGTTTTGTTTCTGGCAGATACAAGGTTGTTGTCCAGCTTTTGTACTACTACTAGTGTAACTGAGCTATTAGCTAAGCCAAGTGTGTCCATTCTTGAATGCCTTTTTCAGTTGAGCAAATATGATGTAATGTTGCTTGAATTAGTGTCCGTGGCTTGATAAAAATAATACGATGCTATGCTGTATCGGTTCGTCTTTTTTTCCACTTCTGCTGAACAGTGCTTTGTTGTGGTCACCCTTTAAAGTGTAAGTGAAACACTCCAGAGAGAGAGAGACAGACAGACAGCTTACATACACATATATATGCAAACTTTGAGTTCATGAGAGGGCCTGCTGCACAGACTAAAGGGCACAAGATGCGCTGGTGATGTAATTGTTTGTGGTCTAAACAAACCAGTCGTGCCTGTCATTGTGCGAACCTTGCTCGCTTCATATCAGCCTACTCAAGGCTGTGGCCGCAGGTGACGTTATGCAGGGAGTTAATGAATAACCTGGATGGTATTACATCACCACTGGTTGCCCTCCAGTTACTCTCTTTGTGTTTGCCTCTGTCCCTGATGTCTGATAATGTCATCATGGAGCTGGCCCTTCATGTTCACCCCATGGTGAAAGGCTGTGAATACACCTGCGTGTATTGCCCATTTTATTGAGATAAAGTTACTTCCTCAGCTTGATGTTAATATGCACCAACCTTTTTTGTTATCAGTCTTTTATTGAACCGTTTCAGTAGAGTCTGTCAATGATTTGTGTTGCTGTGTTTTGCATGACAAGAGGGGAAAATGTTTGATTTGTTTGATGTTTGATTGGGAGTCTGTTAATTGTCTTTGTCTGGAGGAAGTTCATTAGATTTCAGACGTCACTGTGACCTCACAAAGCACCTTAATTATTAGAAAACACAACAAAATCCTACTAGCATAAAATGATGACGCGATGACAAGTTATATCCAATAGGTCAGTTCCACTGTGACTAGGGAGGGATGTTGATAAGATTTTCATCATTATCAATTCTGCATATTGCCCTGATTCTTTATCATTTTCCTTGTTGACGTCTAATCAATTTTCCTTGTGGAGAAATGTCGGTCAGCGCAGGATTTTTATCGTCAACGCAGTGTGTTATTATCTAAAGTTTTCATAGTATAAACAAATGGTTGAATGGGAGGAATTACGAAAAGATCCACTGCTTTAGCGTCATTGTTCTGCAATGTAGAAAACCACACCAGCATTGATAGGTGGAGCTCAAAGGCATATGATCATGAAGTATTTGGAACCGGTTCTCAATAGCCATCCTTAACAGTGACATCATAATGTCCTTAAAAAACACCTTTTTGGCCATCATCCAACAGCATAACTCAGAAAGAAAGATGATTTGAGTTGACATCATATTTGGCTGCATGCTGAAGTGTTTACACTCATCTTTGTGCTTACCTATTGAATTGCTTTAAAGTCATTACTTACGTGTGTCTCGCCAAATTTGCATGTGAACAGCAAGTTGACTGGTTGGTGAAGAGATACAGCTGGGCGTCAAATTTCTGGGTACCATTCATTTACAGCTAATATTTCCAGAAATCCGAAGGATGTGTAGGGTTTATAAAAAAAAAAATCCCACCTGGAGTAAAAATTTCCTCAAAGTTGACCAGTCAGACTAGTTTCTCTGCAAGTTGTCGTGGTGTAATTATTTTGTTTTGACTCCTTGGATCTGCATAACCTGGTCTGTGTGGATCTTCTGACTGTGTGAACTTGCTTTTGGGAAAGCAGTGAGATTTTTGGGCTACATTAGAGGAAACATCAGATAGAAATATATTAAAATAATTTTGGTCGGTGGCTTTTAGGCTAATTTGTGGTCATTTTCTTTTAAGTGAGTAAAATAAAAGGTGCACATACAGCTCAGGTTTGGAGAATCTATCTTGAGCTCCACTGTCTGTTTTAGCTTTATCTTGTATCAGCATCAGTGAGCATCCCATCACAATCACCCTTCTCGTGCCCCCTTATCACCCCAGCCTGGGCTGTTTCCATGGCAACCAAATCTGCTCCAGGCCTGTACACAGTGTGTCTGTCTCTCTGCTTTCTCTTCTCTTTGCTTGTTTTCTTCTGTTCAGTCGGAGCATCACAGCCTAGTGCTGCTTCCTTAAGTGTGAGGAGCTTATTTTATTTATTTATTTATTTAATGATTCTTCCTTTTTTTTCCTGCTTGGATGTGATGTGGAGGGGCATTTTTTCTGCATGAGGAGATGGGCGATGTTTGTTATGCTGAGTAATCACGTGGATGGCTGTGTTGCTTCTTTTAATTTCTCTGCCTTTCTCATATTTTATTGTCAATATTCTTGCTGTTTTCTCTTATTAACCTTTTATGCCAACCCCCTTTCTGTCCATAGAAGCGGGATTTTTTTGAGTTTGCCATGGGACAATTGTCAAGCGACATAAAGATGCAGAGCGCTCCGTCTCTGACTACCACACATGTAAACCTGCACACTCATCCCCTCCCCATCTCTGTTCACTGCACAAAAGCAAGAAAGAGAGTGATAGAGAAGGAAGGAGAGATTCAGAGAGGAAAAAGTGTGAGACTGGGTGGGTGGGAGAGCAGTCGCCATTAGACATATGCAGCATCAGATGCTGTGCTCAGCAGCGGCAGGGACACAGAGAAAGACAGCAAAAGATTCACATCCCTCGAAGCTGTGTTGTTAGCTGCACGACCGAAGGGCTTCCTGCCAGATAAGGTACGGTATAACAGGTGATGGGGCAGGTTGTAATGTGGCAGCGGATGTTTTTTGTACAGGGGCAAACTGGTATTGCAGCAAAGCTTTCTGCAGAGTAGAAAGCACATTATAAGCATCCGGATATTATAAGCATATCTGGATGCTTATAATGTGAAGTTATGTCAGCATGCTAGTTACACATAAACTGGGATTCACTTTTTCAGTTAAAGAAAAGATCAGCTAAGCTTAGGTGGACTGTGCTCATTTGTTTGTGCTGTTTTATATGTTGTGCAAGCCAGTGGGCGTTTTGCCTTCAACCTTCATTGACTATCTAAATTTTTATCTATGTCAATGCTTGCCGGTATCTACGTTCTGATTCAGCAGCAGTTTGTTGTTTAACAGTGCAAGCAGTTGCTACTGTCTCTCTAGACTCTCTTTCATGTTCTTGTGCTGCTCCTCTTGCATCAGGCATGTTGCCAGGCAGCGAAAGCATGTGTACATCGGCTGCATGTTCAGTTCATCCAGCAGACTACAAGTCAATAGGAGACGAGCTGTAGGCTGTAGTGAAGCACTACTCAACCTCCATGTCATATGTTTGATGTGGTCGTCTGCATGTGAGATTTGATTTTTCACCCACATTCTCCTTCATCTGTTTCTTCCCTGCTCCACAATCATCCCCTCTCCCTCACCTTGAGCTGGCTAAGTTGCTAGGCTGGAGAGATCCTGGCTGAATAACATCCTTCGTTACCTCCACACAGCTCTCCTTTCTCGCTCTACTCCCTCCCTCTGTGGCGCTGCCAGACCACAGGTGAAAAGTTGCAGGACACAAGTGATTAGATACATTTCCTCCCCAGTTTAACCCCCTCTCTCACTTTCTCACCAGTGTTGTTAACTGTTTTTCTTTTCTCCCCATCCTCTCAAGAGGAACATAGCCTTATCATCGTTTTTGTTTTGGCTACTGCACCTCTGTCACTCACACTCTTCCTTTTCAGCTGAGGTTTAAACCTCCATTTACGCTTTGGGGTAAGCGAGAAGAGGCCCATTCATTTTTAATGACACCACGTGCCTGTAGATGAATAAAACAACATGGCTGCATTCACATTCTGACCTTTTACTTGTCGCATGACACCTGGTTGACCAATGAAATGGACCTCAAACTACGCTGGGTTTTTTTTCATTTGCATGTTGACTTAATTAAATGGCACAGTGGTTTTGTAATGTGCAGTCTAGCACGCGCACACATGCTGTTTCTCACAACCCCAATAAACGACTGATCGTGTGTGTGTGTGTGTGTGTGTCCCATGTTAAAGGTAAAAGGGCTGTGGTGAATGTGAGCACGGAGGAGATCAGAGTGATTAGAAGTGACGGATAGACGGAGGCAGTTCATCAAGTTTGTGGATGGTTAATTTGAAACACACATACAAACACACACGCACAGGATGTCACACAGGCCTTCTGCCTGTGTCCAGACCTGCTCTTTGAATTCCCCTGGCTTAATTTATCGCACGCTCTCAGTTTCCTGTTTCACGAGCTACTGCACAAGAGACCCTCGGTCAACAACCACCAGCCTTCACACAGTTACACAGGCACTCACACTTGTCGAATTTAAGTCTTTGTCTTCGGATGTGTGATATTCCTTCAGATCCCAGGACTGCTAAATCTCGTTGGATGATCCGGTCAGCTTTTAAGTCTTTAAATAACTTTTGTATTCATCTTTATAGCACTGTGGTTATTTTAAAATGCCAGGTGCTAAATATCTGCTAATAAAAGATAATGCAAAAGATCAAAAGTACGTGTGAATTCTTGTGCTAGAGTCAGGATTGGAAATGTGTGTGAAATGGATCCGTTGTTGTGACTTTGCAGCAGTTGAGTTTGAAGGGCTTTATTTGTTGCCATGGAGTGATTGAGTGAAGCTTAGACCAACATGTGCCCTTTATGATCACATGTTTGTCGCGTTCTTACATTTCTCCATGAATGCTTTGCTTACTTAATTCTCTTTCTTTTTTTTTTTTTTTTTTTTCGCTTCTTCTTTTAGGCACCATGGATCTCCCAGCGTCTGCTCCAGTGGTAGCCCTTCTCCACTGACCCTTATCTCCTCCTTCCTCCACCTCTCTCATCTACCCCTCATTCTTCATACCCCACTACCCCTCACCCCCACGTCTTTGACCCTAGCTTACCACTCAGCCCGTCTTACATCATGGCAGGGGAGAAAGGGCCCAACAAGAAGAGCGCCATGGACATCAAGCGCCTGGCGAGCCTCATCCAGAGAGGGACAGGCCGCTTGCTGGTGATTGACAGCAGGACGTTTTCTGAGTACAATGCGTCACACGTACAAGGCGCGGTCAACGTTTGCTGCTCAAAGCTGGTGAAGAGGCGGCTGCAGCAGGACAAAGTGTCTGTCACTGAGTTGCTTCAACCCAATGGCAAAGTGAAGGTGAGTTAAAGCTCAATTAAGGCTACCTGACAGCTGATGCTTTTTGGGTGGTAGAATGTGATTAGAGAGCCATTCACTTAAGTGCCAAGCTGACATTATGCCAAGCTCCTACCTTGCTGATAACGGTGAGACACTTGATTCCTACCTGCTTCATAATCTACTCTTAAAACCTCTTAAAATGGTCATTTGTATGTTTTTACACTTCTCACAAATAAATAAGACAAAGCATGCTAACTGCTGAGATTTAGAGGTGCCAGTAAGTGGAGTTTGTCACTTTTGCTCGGAGCCAAACTAGCCGTTTCCCCTGTGTGCAGTCTTTGTGCCAAGCCAAATTTAAGATACTGGTAGTTTTACAATTACGAAACTCATATTGATCTCGTATTGAAGAACATGAGTGGTATTCATATTCTTATTGAACTTGATCAAAATAAAAATTTGAGTGTTTCAAAAAATGGTTCGCATTTTTATATTTAGTGCTTTCTGTGCTTCATAAATTCCCTCAACCCACAGACTGAAATAACTCCTTTAAACAACTGATTGATTTGTCCCAAGCACACCTTGGTGATTTACAAATTTTTGTTTGTTCGTCTGCTCACATTTAGAGTTTAGTAGTATAGCAGCTCTGCTTGTAGCATGTTTTCATTATGCAGTAGGTGCAGTGGGTTGATATAGGAGGACTTTCTTTGAGCCTGGGGTCTCAGATTCAGGTTCCCTTGTCAGCACGCTGTCACACCGTTGAAGTGCCGTCATGCAAGATGCTGACTTTACGCCAGCTGTATGAGATTATTACCAACAGTCTGACCTGCGTTTCACTGTAGTTCCAAACTAGCCTCCTCTGTGTTAGCCAAGCACATCAGTGGATGCTATATTTGGTGGGCAGGCACGCATACTGTATGTTTGTTGCTTATCAGTGGCCCTGAAATCGGATCCTTCTGGTTTCCATGACTTCTCCTCTGAATATGACAGCCTTCTTTCCATGGCTTGTCCAGCCGCGGCATGCTGACTCCTGTATTTTTAGTCTCTGTGTGAAACTGAAGGATCTCTGAGGGGGGAGGGGGGGGGGGGAGCAAGGGGAGAGGAGGAGGGTTGACATCAGTGTGTTTTGTGTGCGGTATGTGCTTTTTGTGCTGTCATGTTTGCGCATGCATTCATCAGCTAACAGTTTTACTTGACTGAATACAGAAAGCAAAAAAGCTGTAGAGGACATGGGAGATGATTTTCTGCCTCCTGGCTTCAAATGTTATTTTTAGATATTCAACTTTTTAGTTACACCCAGTGCAATAAAACAATGATTCACAGCAACCCATGACACTTGCCAGGTGAGTGAATTTTTTTTTTTTAGGCGTGACTCAGAATGGCAGTTCACACTTCTTTTTTGTTGTTCTACTTCCTGGTTGCCAGGAGGCGGTCTGGTTGTCTGGCCTGCCACTCATCTTATTCTGTTGAGCCTATTTATAAGAGTGATTTATGACCAGCTTCCATTTTATGCCATTGTGTGTCAGCCCCAAACTGGCTGACATGTATTTACCTGCTTGGTACATCTTTCATAACTAAAAACATCACTTCCCAAAAAAAAGGCAAATATTTAGACTTTATTACTTTATTGCTCTGTTTACTCCTGCTGGGTTACACTAACATTTGTAGATGACAGACAGCGTCTACATGGTAAAATGAACTTCAGTTCCACTAATAGCACCTGGGATATTTAACCGAGTCCCTATATACCTGCTGTTTTTCCCTGGCTCTAATGCTTTAATGCGAGTCGACCCCACATGCCTTCCTTTTCACCTAACATGAACCATTATCAGCCAGAAGATTCTGTATCTGAATACTTGTATTATTCCGACCAAAAGATCCAGTTTTGTTCCGATAATGGTTTTATTTTAGCCGAGATCTTACACACCCAAAAATAAAATCTTTTGAACACTAGAGATGTAGACAACAAAGAGAAAGCGATGGATTTAAATTAGCTGCTGCTGGAGAAATGTTTATTTGAAGCTTTGGATCACTGTCAGAGTTTCAGTTTCATTACTTGCCCTGAGTGCAGCGCGCTAGAGCGTGTTTCTGTGCTCCGTCTCTGGGTTCATCTCTGTGTGGGGCTCTGTGCTTGGCAGATCTCACACTGTGGCACCCCACAGAGCCATGCTTCCTCCTGATTTCGCTCACTTTCATTCTCGTGACAGCTCTGTCTGTCTGTTTTGCAACCATAGCCTGCAGCTGCTCGCAACCACCTCGATTCTTATTAGTTTATTCCAGTTCTCCTCTCACTGTCTAGTGTTGTCCCATGCCTGCTTTGTTATTATCCATTCCCCACCCCCAGTAAAGAGGATAAGGCTTGCGATTAATGCTAGGCTGGATAAAGCTGGAACTAGCCGGGTTAGAGAGGAGGGCCTGACGGACCCAGACTCTTTTGTTATTGGCTAAGCATGACATCATCCCTTTTGTGTGGCCACTGGCAGGCCGCGGGCTGGGCACGTGCAGATTGGCTGTGTGGTGTTTAAGCCAGCTCCCGACTGACCCCCCCATACACACACACACACACACACACCATCGTCTGTACCCCCCACATGGCTCTGAGCATCTCCAGGAGCTGTCTCAGCCAGCCAAAACGCCAAAGGACACCATTGTGGCTCTTTGTATGGGAAGTGAATGCAGGAAGCAGGAGAGCAGCATTGACAGTATTCATGGATGGGCTGTTGCCTCCGCCTCCTCCCCAGCTGCCTCTCGCCTCGCATCCCATTGAGAACTAATAGCCTGCGTCCCCCAAGGCGCTGCACTCACCCTCTTTCATCGAAGCTCCCAATGCTTCAGTTAACTGAGCTGAATGAACAGAACAGCAGCAAACAAAATGGTGTCCTCTTTCTTCTGCCTTTCACGTTCCATCCCTTCATAGCTCCTTTTATTAATGCTCTCTATTAATGTAGGTGTAGAGAACTGGACACAGTAGGCTAGATGATGGACGACCTCTGCTGGGAGAGCGCAGGCTTAGTCGGAAATGGGGCTTCCTCATGCCTTTTCCGACAGGCTAGAGGGCAGGCGGCTGGTTTCTTGGCTTAAGCCTGGCTAATCCCTGCTGCTGTGACAGGGACAGCCGGCCAGGGAGGCCTGACAGATGGACCAGAGGTTTTCACTACCAGTAACCAGCCTGGGGAAGCACCCTTCCTCTTCTATATAGACATGGACCCCACGCTTTTGTTAAACGAAATAGCATGCCTGCATATAGATACGTTGCACTTATGAGCTGTCAAATCTGTTAATGTGGCAGAACTTAAATATTTATAACCACAAGTAGGTTTCCAGATGAAAATTTAGCTGATTTTTGCATTTTTGATGTAAAGTGAAGAAACCAGCTGTATCAGCACACTGACCAAGATGTAGTGCATCAAGTTTAAGACAGATGTGACGGGGTGAACTTGTAAAATTTAGGATTTCTGCTTGCAAAATAGAATAATGCTGAAATCAATATAGCACAAATAGATAACCAAAAAAAGAAAATTGATAAATATATTGAGCCATTCCCCAGTACTGGACTCTGTAATGGGTATTAACTGATTGGTTGAGACATTTAATCAAGATCAAGAGAGGGGGAAAAAGTGTTTTGGGAAGTCGAATGACAACAAGTGAAACCCTTAACAGTCACTTTCAGCTTTCTAAATGCTGCTGATTTCCTTTTGTGATTTCTGCACTATTAGTCAGACTAAACAGGCAATTTGAAGAAATTATGCAAACAGATTTAAACATATTTCTCCAATTTCACTGTATAATCAAAAAACAATAAATAACTGAATAATTGTTAGCTGCAGCCGTACCAATGTGATGCCTTTATGGAAACATTCATTTTACACCTGAAAATATTCTCCAGCTGTTGTGATACCAACATTTTAGACATGATAATGAACAATAGGCTGATTCTTTTTGTTTGGTATAATGGGCATGCAGCAATAAAGCCAAGAAAGGCTGTAATCTTGTCTGTGATCTTAATTGGTGATATCGGCTGAGTGTCCTGCCAAACAGAGAGAGATAACATGTGACTAATGGATTTATGCAATGTAGAAGATCTCCATCAATTCCACTGATGACACACCATATGTTGTGTTTATCCTCCATGTCAAGGGTTAGGAGGCGGCTGTAATGATGCATGATAGGGAACCCCATATGGAAAGACAATTTAAAAAATAAATCTCATTAGCTACAGTTGCAAGAATTCATCTTTTTGTATTTCTCTTATAGGATTTTCTTATTAAAATGGTGACTTTCCCATTTTTCTCTTACAGCATGTTTACTTTAATTCATGCTTAATTCAGTGTTGCATGAAAAAAGTTACACTTTCATGAATAAATCAAATGTGCATCTAAAGAGGAAATAGTTATTTACTTTGTTATGATCAAAAAGTGTTTGTCATCTAGTGTCTGACACAGACTGTGTTTTACCATCAAGGACATCACACGTGTTTCATGTGTCATCTCCCATGATTGCAAGAGTGGACTCTGAGAACATAGATGATGAATTTCTGTGTTGGTTATTTCCCAGGTGACCCAGATGGGAAAAATGGGAAATTTCCGTGTGTTTCATTCACATTTATCTGAATTTAAACAGAAATGCTAAAGCCAGCAGTGGTGTTTCTACAGAGATGGATAATGTCATATGTTTGCTTTGATGAGGTCATGCACCGAGTCATTGTTTGCTTTTAAGATCCCACTGTTTAACATAGACACACATGTCATAATCTGTATATAGTTTCAGATCTAATCACAAAGTAAAACTAACAATTACAGAAAATATAATATATGTATATTTCTTTACTCTAGTGTGAGTTCATGTGAGAGGATTTTGGGATACAAAACATGACTTCATTATATAAAGAATTGGGAGGATGATGAGGTGTTACCACATAAAGAGAATGAATGCTTTCTTTACAGACAAAAATGAAGTCTGTGTACTGAGACAGACAAACTTTTATGTAAAAGTATAAAAATTCACTTGTATATAAATGTGTACCCTGAACAGGGCCTTATGTGTGTCTGTGTGCTAAAGGATCCCTGATATTCACCAACATGTAGGTGTGACCACACCAGATCAGGTGACCACATCTCAGAAATCATCAGGGATGACCTCACACTGCACATGCACAGAGCCGTCAGGAGCTTTCACCACCATGCCACATACCCACATCCCAGTCAGATTCACTTTCATTCAGGTGTAAAGTTTTACTTTAAAGGATGTTTCACAGTTATTCCCCATACTAAGGCTAGAATCTAAATTATCTATGAACCCAGGTTGAACCATATTATATACCTCTTTCCACATCTTATGAGCACAGTTGTTAGTGTCTCACACACACATATCACACCTACTGAAGCATACATGGAGGTGGCAGCTGCCAGTTTCAGTCAATGACATCATCATCCCCAGGGTGGTAGCTTGACAGTCGCGAGAGGTGTAGTTTGCACCTGTGAGCCGGGGTCTTAAACAGACTTATTGAATACTTAAAAGGAGACACTAGAGTACATGCAATATACCGTGTATACTGTTGAAAGTTTGGTCCAGTTGGTGCCACATCGGCATAGAAATAATGTTAGAAATGTACCCAGAAACCAAGTGAAATGATAGGCGTATGGGTGGTACGTACTTAATTTTTTTCTGGTGAATCAGTATGACAAACTCTGACTCCTGCTCACTGTGCTGTCTTTTTAAAGAGAGATTTCGTAATTGCCATTTCCTGTATCTCTTCAGCTCCTCGTTACTGAAGAATTTACTGTTAACTGAAGATGGCTCGTACCGCACTCCTCTTGTTTTGTGTGGGTCCTCCCAGAGTGGACACCGTGAGGGGACCCAGACTGTGCTTCAGGAATGTGGGTCCATTTTTAGATTTGTGTCACAGACCAGTACACACACACATACTCCCACTCAGCACTGACCTTGTCACTGGTCAGCAGCAAGACAGGGGTCAGAGGGAAGTTGTATGTCACTTTTTTGCACAAACTGTTACCGTAAAGCAGGACAGCGTTTCCCTTATTTCATAGATATCTTCTGTTGCCAAGCTACCCATCAGTTATCTTTCATTATGTGTGTGTGTGTGTGTGTGTGTATACATACAAACTGTTCCTTCAGAGGAGCATTGACACAAAGTCCATGCCCTAACTTGCAGCCTTGTCTCCAACCTCGTTTTTCTTCCACTCCTTACATATTTTATAACAGGGTCAGTTAGAAGTGTACAGGGACTTCTGACTCTCTTGCCCAATCCCTTCATTTTTTTTCTCTTTCAGGGTCAAATGTTATCCTTTTTCTAGCTCTGTGTATCTCATTTAATAGAATTTCATCTTTTATGCATCTTGCCTCTCATGTTTGTTGTTTATTCTCTGCTGTGACGCCGGTCTCCAGCTCCTTTAGAGAGACCTGGGTGCAGCAGGATTGTAGCATTTGGTGTGCTAGTGCTACCTTCTGTCCCTCCATCTCTCTCTTGCTTTATATCTAATCCTCCCTCAAGTTTCCGTCTGATCCCCCTTCTTGGCATTCCTTTCCCTGGCTTCCTCTTCTGTTCCTTCATCCCTTGTTTTTCCTCTCTGCTAGTGGCATTCCTTGTTTACCTGCAGTGTGCATGCGTCAGAGAGCCTGGGCCAGTACTGTAATAGTAGTGATGCTGTAGCACTGCAGAGGGATGAGGGATCTGTACTACTGCTGCAGTCTGACAGCAAGTCCCAGCCCTGGGTCGTTGACCTCCAGCACTGCAGCAACCTCCATGTGTTTCACATGCTTAGCCAGATGGGTAGTTTTTAGCATCTGGTGTAATATTCTTCTATCTGTTATGCCATTTATACTTTCTAACAAATCTAGACATTCCTTTTCGTCTTATAAGGGAATAAGGTGAGATCTAATTTATCAAAAAATAGTCATCAAAATGGCATTTAACTGTCACTTAATTTTATCATTTGCAGCAAATTTATAGATTTTTTTCTATATTGTGGTAGTACCACCAAACCTGTGAAAATAAAATGTTAAAAAATGCAACTGCAGTGTCTGTGGTTGTTTGAGAAAAGTATTTAATTATGATGTTTTCTATGTAATGTATGAACACAGTAGTTTCACAGAGAGCGACAGTATTTCCTTTATGAGATTCATTCCATGTTTTCACATTAGAAAGTAAACCTTTTAGACTGCGCAGCTGATAAACAACACCAAAGTGTGCATTGAGCGGTGTGTTTATATTTGTGTTAACGCACGTTTGTACGGTTAAAGGCCTGTAATCCTCAGGCACTGAGATCAGACTCCCAAATTAGATCTGATCCCATTAGGATTATTAGCCAAAATATCCAGGGTTAGTTAGGATGAAGGATGCAGGGAATTTAAAACAAAGACAAAGAGACGCAGGGCAAATAACAAATTGTGCATTGTGGGCAGTTTAATGCTAAAACAGGAAATCATAGAAATGGTGCACTTTAATTACGGTTAAATTAATGCTAATCACCTCCAGGCTCTTTCTTTTTTTGATCTTAATCTGGTTGATATTTTGTACGTGAGTGTATACTGGGCCAGATGGCCTCATAGCTCCATTGCACACAAACCATGATCTTATTATTTTTGCAGTGTATTTTAGCAACAGTTGTTTATTGCAACCACTTTAGGTGATATAGATAAGAAGTCTAAATATCGCAATGCTAATAAATAGAATAAAAAGAAACCAGGGTGTTTGCAATTTTCTGATGGTCTGTGTTGCAGATTATTTATGAAGCTGTTAACAGTAGGCTGCTTGTCGCTATAAGATGTTAACCAGCACTAATTGTCAGTGTCTTTTTGCAATCCCATAATATAGGTCTGGTTACTTCCTTCACATTGGATGAACTATTTATAGAATATCACATCATGTATGTTGTTGGGGGTTTTTTTTTTGCAGATATTGATGTTCACACACATCAAGTGTAGGCTTTGCTGTAAATAACCACTTCTAAATGGTTCCCTGTCATAAGTCATTTGAGAGCTTATAATGGGTAGTCTGTTTTATAAACGAGACCCCAGGTTTTCATTCTTTTAGGTCAGTATTGGTGTTGGATGCAGGCAGGCTTAGCTAAGTCAGCCTTTATTAAGCCAGAGTGAGATTTTAGCATGCTTCAGAGACTGACCTTGTCCTGTCTAAATCACCTGCCTGGCAGTCTTCCAAGCCACTCTGCTACAGCTGCTCTGTAAGCAGAAACATTAGCAAACGCGCTCCAGGTGCACTGTGGAGCTGTGTATATCATGAGTTGTCATCGCCATTGTGCCTTCATGTGCACAGAGAGCAAAGAGACATTGAGGAAGTGGAAGCTAGCAGATATTCAGCGACACTTTGCACATGAGGATGATGTGCTTTTGTTGTTTACTGAGGTACACAAAGAATTCACGACCCGTCTCGTTTCATTGTCGCCGCTCTCCGTCTTCTGTTTCATCTCCTAAATTCCTTTTTTGTCCCCTTTTTCTTTTTCTCAATTTTTGTCTCTATTGTTCACTGACCCAATGTGTAGTTACCCCCACACCTCACCCCAATCCCCCTCCATCCTTTTCTCCCTGTAGCTGGCCCTCCTTCCCGCTCCCTCTCCCGTCTCCTGTCCAGTGGCGGTTCAGTGAGGTAGTGATTCATAGCTGCAGTAGGCGCTGCCTGATGGTCATGTGACCAAAGCCTGCCTGACAACATGGAGAATGAACACAGTCTGGCTAGTTTGTGTGCAGCCTCATGCACATGCTCCCTCATGCAAACACACACACGCAAAGAAATACTTTGTCGCATCAGCGCATGCTCACATCCTCTCATCTTTCTCCCAATCTGACATAAACAGCATCACTATGAAGCCACTGGATGTCCACGCCCTTCGCTATGCAGCCAGCTTTCATGATTTTATCCTCTATTACTGCAATCATCCTTCTCATATTTGTCCAAAACAAAACATTATGACTGAACAGTGCAATACCCTACCCTAATGCAATATTCATAGTCCTGTGCATTATCTTATAACTATAAGCACGCGCAGTGCTTGCTGTTTACTGTTGCAGTCACAGGCACCAGTAAAAGTTTATTGTCAAAACACCCAGTAGTGTGTTTGTGAGTTCCTTTTTATTTCTTTTTTATTTTTGTTGCTTCTTCCTGGAAAATGTGAAAGCAGCACAGAGGTCAGGTGTTTGAGGAAACAGGTTTGGTCCCTGCCGCAGCTCATTTACCATCACTGCGTCATCAGAATGCCCTCTTACAATGCCTGGGTTTACTCAGGCGAAAGAAAATATTCCTCAAACCCCACCCACAAGTTTGAATACATGTCATAGATTCAAATGCTGGGGTTGTCCCAAGTCCCAAATTACCCAAGATGCCAATTAGATAGAAATTCCAGTTTTTTCTAACTCGTACTTCCTTGCTGGCTTTGACACAAGATATTTTTGTTGTATAATCAATTCTCTTCTCTTCCTTGTTATTTATCTTCTGTGCAGGTTGAGCTGGGCAGGAAGCAGGAAGTGGTGGTTTATGACCAGAGTTCCAAAGAAGCAGGGCATCTGTCCAAAGATGGTTTTGTGCACATTCTCATGGGAAAGTTGGAGGGCACCTTCCACAAAGTCTCCCTTCTCACCGGTAAGACATGTGTGGTGTTGGTGGTGGTGCAAAAGAAAAGGGGAAAGAGCAGACTTTGTATATCTCAAAGCCTGTTTTCCTTTGTGTGTGTGTGTATGCACTGCTATTTATTGTAGCCCGAACAGGTGCACTGTTGTCGTTGCACAGTTTGATCAGCAGATGTCACTCATGAGAACAACAGGACAACAATGTAGCCCTTAGTCAGTTCCCCATTTCTTAACACTATACTAGTGTTCTGACTTCGTGGTGTAAGGTTTGCAGGTATGTGTGAGCCCAGGAGGGAGAGGGGAAGTAAACTCCCCTGCACTCTTCCCCTTACCCAGCATCTCTGCAGTAACGGTGAAGCTCAACTTTCAATCCTCTGGCCTTATTTATCACAGTTATTACCCTGTCGTAGTGTCCACTAAGCACACTGAGATTTATAATTGAGCCCCACCAAGACTGTTAATAGTCGTTGAGTTAATAACATCTTGATTGTGGTGGCTGCAGCTTTTTAAGGGATGATATTACACACACACATATCCGCCCGCCGAGGCTTATGAATCTGTCCCAAATATGTCAGTGCAGAATGGGGAGTGTAATCTGCCTCAGTCAGGATTTGAAACGAGGCAGCGGAGGCATGCTGCTCTTGCAAATCTCGGCTCTTCTCTCTGCATCCCCATTCTTCTCCTCTTCCCTCCGCTGGGAGATTAGTGCTTTTTTCATGAGTCATTCACGGATGCCTAGGATTGCCTGAAAGCACACAGCCTCTACAATTTGTCACAGAAGTGTACTGAGCGCATGCTTTGGGTGGACACACCCGTGCATACAAAGTGCATACACACGACCGCGTTTGATGCCTCACACACACGAACACAAACACACACTCTCTGATTACTGAAAAGCCGGGATTTTGTTAATACTGAAGGACCCCCTGTCAGCAGCTCCCTCCTCGTTATCAATCTCGGCTCGTTCTCGTTGTGTTTCTTCAACAGAGGAAGAAAAAGAGGAATCACACCTCTTCCATTTTTGTCCCCGCTTTTCTGCTGTTTCCACGACAACAGTGGCAGAGAATATTCTCCTGTAGGACTCAGCCAATGGCGTCCGCTTTTGTTTGGGTGGTTGTAATATTGGGGTCAGTGGAGCTAGCAGCAGCGTTGTATACATAATATTTGTCTGTATTTGCAGTGCATGCATGCAGGTGGGTGGTGTTGCATGCATGTGCCTGCATGCATTATGACGTTATGTGAACGATTGCTGTGGGATCTGCTTATGTGGGGAAAAAAGCATCAGTGTGAAGGTGTTAGAGATAAGAATAGGATATGCTTGTCAGGATTTTTAAGTGTTGCTGCTAAGTTGCCTTTATTAATGTGACAATGTTTATATTATAATTGGGGATGACGGGCATTCTTGTTCATTGCGTCTGCACAGTTTGCAGCAACAAAGTGCCTGGTGTCTAAAAGGACGCTTGTCTTTTCTGTTACAAAAAAACCCCACAGTGGCACAATGTGTGATTTGTGAACAAACTGAGCCCAGAGAAAGTTCAAAGGTCAGGGGTCACGATGTGCCATCTTGGATCTCGAGCTCTTCACAGAGCAGTGAAAGCAAGCATGCAAGAAAACTATTTTTCGAAATGGGCCACTGGTTTGACAGAATTACTCATTTGAAGATGTCACACTTGCCTCCTAAAAACCAGTAAAAAGTTGCTCACCTGGTTTTGTGAATGACCAAAGGCCACCACATGCACTAGCCTTTCCCAGCCATTCCTCCCACTCACTCACTGCTTTCCCATCCACTCTCTGTACTTTACTGTTAAATAAAAGCCGAAGATGTCAAAAATGAAACCCACCCAAAATAAAGTAATGGATTAAATAATGAGTAAAAACGTATGCTTCTTTTTGTCCATCCTTTATTTTTTTGTCCTGTCTCTGCCTCCTCATTCTTGACTTTAATTGGCATTACTCCCGTCTCCCAAATTTAAAAAAATAATCCCAGTTCACACCTCCCTCTCCGCCCACCTTATGCTTTTACACCTCCCTTCTACTGAACCTCTGATTTATGCTACTAATAATTCCCGTGGTGACCTCATATCTGACTGAGGACTTATTTTCAGCCTCACACCAGACGTACACACTACGCAGAGTGTAGCACTGGTGCAAATCCAGTGAGGGGTAATGTGGGTGGGTAAAGGAGGGAGAAATGGATTGCGAGATGAAAAGAATCCATAAATGGGATGAACAGGGTGAATTTGAGAATAATTATGAAGCTGCCTGTCTGAGGGGAGGTTGATTTTTCTACCTTAAATGTCAGTTATGCAGACGCTTGCCAAAGGGAGATTAAGGCAACATTTCTGAAAGGGATTTATGTTTTTTGCATTTTTAAACCTAATGCTTATTGACGTAAATTTCCTTTCAACTAGGGGAAATAAGACAGGAGAAGACAGGAGATGCCAGATAAGCTGCCTGAATGAAATGTTACACAATCATAATGAATGCTCTGGGAACATATTGATCCCAAAACAATCTGTGACCCCTCTCAGGTTTCCACCATTCAGTAATTGATCAACTGGAAAGCACACCATGTCGTTACATGTGGAAAACGTCATACTGGTAGCATTGTCCCAAAAGGGCAATTGTTTTTGTGAATGAAATTACTAATGCAGATTCTCACCCTGTATTAAAGAATGCATTCACGCTGGATGTAGTTGTACTTGGAGAGTGTCCTTGTGAATCCATGCAAGCACAAAGGTTAAGGTTATGCTACTTCATTGATTGCGTGAAAGTGTTTGTGAGAAACATGCCTCTCTCAGGACAGCTGTATTTTTAACACAGTGGTGATCTCACCCAGTTGGAGCTCAAGCTGATGCGTCTTGCCTTTTTCAGAGTTCTGATAGCGTGTGTGTGTGTGTGTGTGTGTGTGTGTAGAGGGAGAGATCATCACTTGGTTGGAGCCAGCTGCCTCCCCAGTGGCTCTAAAGTTTGTGCATTTCCCACCAATCTGCAAGCACACAGCCAAATTGGAGACAACGCTGAACACTCCCTGCTAGTGTGGGGCTAGGTGGTATGTTAGCCGATGCCAGCTGTGTCATACGTCACAGCAGCCCCGCTATAGAACTGACAGCATGAAATGTTTTGCTGCCGTGTTCTAGTTTCAGCAGTCTAATATGCAAGACAGAATAAAAAGAGAACTTTCAAAAAGGCTACTCATGAGCTGTGGATGAAAAGAGAGTTGGGTAGTGTTTTCAAGTGGAAGGGAGGTGGAGATAAAAATAACAATATGTTTTATTCATAGCACATTTTTTTCCTTTTTTTTTTCAAGTACTTTAAGTTGAGTGGGTGACAGCTAGAAATTAGGAAATTAAACACATGCAAAAATAGCATTATAAAAGCACCATCACAGCAGTTGGGTCATAAAGAGGAAATGAAGGTGCGGGAGCATGCAGATGTATATGTCATCCATGTAATGTGTGAGTCTACAGAGTTTTCTAATGTGTGAGACTCCTTCTAATCTTCTCTTGCACCATCTGCCAGTGTTTTTCGTGGGATTACTAAAACACCACACCGTTAGGTCAAAGGGAAAAAGGAGAGAAAGGGGACACCAACTGAAATGAGGTAGTGACAAGGGACAAGGGACATGTCTAAATAGTCTATAGTGGCAGCACTTGACTGCACTCATAGTGCAGAGGTAATCCTGAAACAGTTATGTGGCCAAAGGAAAATAAAGTTTTGCAGTGTATTAATCCTAAATTTGAAGTGTTTGCTGCCTTTTCACTCTCATATAGCTTTTAAAAAAAATTGTACTATTTCGCTACATAGGTGAATTAAGAATATTCACTGACATGTTCAGGGCGATGATGTCAGTGAATATTTGAGTGATTTCACAGATGAACAGGCCTCGTCAGGTTTGTGCTGTTTCACATTCCGTTGAAGACACACACATCAATCAAACTGCGTTGTTTCACAATAAAATGTGACAAAATGAGTTATGCTATTCTAGTATTGCACGACAGTTTTAAGTGTCCAGTAGATGGACAGTGTTGTCCCTGATACAGAGTCCTATGAACTGCATTGAAAAGAGTTCATTTATATACTGTAGCATGTGATCTGGGGCACAGTTTTTGATTTTTTTTTCTGTCTCCCACGCAAAAGCACACAAGAGACAAGGCAGTGACATACTGATGGGAGGTATCAGGAGATGAAAGGTGCCTCTCTCTCATTTTCTTTCACTTGCACTTTCTTTGTCATGCACATTGTAAATAATGCAGACACATACAGGAGCTGCTGTGTTCCTCTGGGCTTTGATGACATCAGGTTAGGGTGTTATTGCACAGACACGGGGGTACAAAGGTCAAGTAAGTTACGGCTCATTCTCGTGTGCTGTTATACAACAGTGTGGGGAGTGTTTTTCGTGTGTGTGTGCGTGTGTGTGCAGACATTAGAGAGAAGCTGAAGAGGTGAGGTAATCATGGGAGGCACAACCTTACAATGCAGCCGTTCAGACATTCCAATGAGCTACATAAGGAGGTCTGTTTGTGAGCATGCATGTTTTTGTGCGTGCATGAATATGTGCATATAAAGCAGAGCACGAATGAGTATGAGGCAATGTTTTGGAGTATTTGTGTGAGAAAAGACATAATAGACAAATGAGAGCAATTGAGGAGATGAGGTAATACTCCTTATTTCATCCTGAATGTGTGCGTGAGTATGCGTGTGCGTGTCAGAGCCTGTGTGGTCACAGAGCTCGCTCAGAGAGACAGGTCGCACTGCTTGGTGTTTGTGAGCCTCCACAGAAATGAAAGACTTTCTTTCCTTCTGGAGCCCAGCATGAAGTCTCCCTTTCTGAAGCTGAAGCCTGAGGTGAAGAAACTGCTTACACACACACACAATTTACGCGGACACCTGCAGCGCGCATGTGTGTTTGAGATGCTTCAACAGATGCGGATCACCAGTTTTATGTGATCGGAAACTGCTAAAAATGTATCTGCTGTAAAAGTTTTATAGTTTTGCTTGGGGGTCTGGGTT